GCTAGAGTCTTTTCCAGGTCTTCCATTTCTAATGGCACAAAATGTTCTAGAAGTTGGCCACTAGATGGCCAGAAGACCTCTAGTTCCCTCTATGTGTCCTCTGGGAGGTAGCCCTTCGCGGAGCAGATTGATCTTATTTATAAAGTGGCTCTGGAAGGTCTCTGCTGTAATATCTTGACTAGCCACATCTTTGGCCATATGGGTTGGATTTGTGATGTTACGAACAATTTTAAATATTTGAGCAGGTCGAGATCTGGCGGATGCTATCAATGAGGAATTATATTCTTTTTTGGCCTCTCTGGTGGCTGCTTCGTAGATTTTTCGATGCATTTCAAAAGCCGACTTTGATATTTCATCAGGTTTCTTGCACCAATTACGTTCTAATCTCTTCCGCTCAAGTTTCATCTGACGTAATGCATCCGTGAGCCACGGAGCCCGTTTAGGGGTAACTATATCTAAGGCAGTTGATAGATTTTTGTTCCAGTTTTCCACTCGTTCACATAGAGAATCAGCGGTGTAATCCAGTTCTTTAAGGGCACTTGAAAGTCTAGTAGGATCCATCAGCTTCCTCGGCCACACAAAAATTTGTTCAGTCTCTGGACGCTGTGGTGGTGGAATCTCTATTTGAGTGTTCAAGATGTAGTGGTCAGACCAAGGAATCTCTAAGACTGAAGATAGAGTCACTTGTATTCCGATACTAAAAATCAAATCCAAGGTGTGCCCAGCTCAATGAGTAGGACCGGTCACCATTAATGAGAAGCCTATTGATTCCATAGATTGTACTAGGTTCCTTGCTATCGAAGAAGACAACAGCCTATCTGCATGTACATTGAAGTCTCCCAATACGATGAGACTTGGGAACTTCAGGGCCAAGTCTGCCACAAGGTCTAATAACTTGGGGATGCTCTCGTTCGGGGCCCCAGGGGCCCGATAAACTAAGAGGATAGTCACACTTTCCCTAGCAGGCAATGTCAAACCTATACATTTGATACCCATAATATCTGGGGTAGGAATAGTTCTAATGGAGAAATGATCGCGGGCTATTATTCCCACCCACCCCTCCTCGACCCCCCTTTCGATATCTTTGAAGCATCTGGAAACCTGAAGGTGTTAGTTCATACGAGGGAGTTTGCCAAATAGTCACTGTTGAATGTTTTTATGTTGAATGTTTTTATATTGTATAAATGCTATTTTAGACTGTAAGTTGCTCGGAGAACCTTGGTGGAGAACGACTAATTAAGAAATAAAGTGAAGTGAAGTGAAGTGAACTTTTGCTTTTCACATAGCATTGGTCTCTGAATAAAAATAAGTTGTATTTTGTATTATATTTTGTATTATATTTTCTTGCTGTGAATCTCAGGTTATTATTCTTCATGCCAGATGTCTCCTGAATATCTAAGTTTGAAACAACAGATCTAAGATAAATTCTAGTGTGATTATGTGATTAAACAACCAGGAGTTGCATTTTAAAATGTTTTTGGAAATGATGTAATTAAATAGTCGGTCATGCTATATTTCATTTTGCTTTATCTGAGAATTCTGGCAAGAAAACGTTGGAAGTCATTAAAATGTTTTCAACTAATACAGCTAAATGGTTGTCACAATTACAGGAAGACATAATATTCTCTACCACCAGATTTTGATTACTGTATAGTGAATGCATTTTCAAGATGAGAGGACATTTCAGGATGCGAGGACATCGTTATCATGAGTAAACTTACCAATTTTGAATAAGTATGAAAATGAAGGCATGTTTAAAACAGATATGAAGACGTCATTTCTCAATATCATTCAGTGAACTTAAGAGAACAGAATCAGGTGGCAGAGCATTTAAAAGGCCACAAGCAACCCTGTAGGCTTTTTAGGTAGAAAAAAATAACTTGGTTGGAAAGAAGATTATTTTGCTTTAATGAAACTGAAATTTTTGGATTTCGTGCTTTAAATTAGTGGTTCCCAACCTTTTTTTGACCAGGGCCCACCTTGACCGGGAACCACTCTCCAGCATTAGTACCAAAGGGGGTGGGGCTGGTTAGCTCTGTGCAAAGGAGTGGAAATAAAATAAAATAAATAGGAAGGAAGTTGGCAGACCGGATTTTCATTCTCGGCCACGGCCCACAGCTTGAAAACCACTGCTTTAAATGCTCTCTTTTCCTCTCTTTTTCTGGAGCAACCACTAGCAGAGAAAAATATGTTTCTGTTAATATGAAGAAAACATTGCTTCTCAGTATATCATAGAATCAAAGAGTTGGAAGAGGGCCATCCAGTCCAACCCCCTGCCAAGAAGCAGGAATATGGCATGGGCCATCCAGTCCAACCCCCTGCCAAGAAGCAGGAATATTGCATTCAAATCACCCCTGACAGATGGCCATCCAGCCTCTGTTTAAAAGCTTCCAAAGAGGGAGCCTCCACCACACTCCGGGGCAGAGAGTTGCACTGCTGAACGGCTCTCACAGTCAGGAAGTTCTTCCTCATGTTCAGATGGAATCTCCTCTCTTGTAGTTTGAAGCCATTGTTCCGCGTCCTAGTCTCCAGGGAAGCAGAAAACAAGCTTGCTCCCTCCTCCCTGTGGCTTCCTCTCACATATTTATACATGGCTATCATATCCCCTCTCAGCCTTCTCTTCTTCAGGTTAAACATGCCCATATCAAAAGGTTGGACAATTTTATTGCATTGGTTCATCATAGGCTTTGTATATTGGTTGCTCTTTCAATCCAACTATCATTTGAACCAAATGTTCAGTTATCCAGTCTACAAAAAAATCAAGTGATTGCAAGGAACACTGACAATGATATAAATATTTAAATAAATAAATAAATAAATAAATAAATAAATAAATAGTAAATAACTTATCTCTTTTGAAGCTTCCTTACTGAGAACAAAGGTTCTATACAGCCTTAATAAACACATTGACTGTTCAATGAAATGAGATGGGGAATTTCCAGAAGCGTTCTTTTCACTAAGGTTAAGTAAGACTGAAAACTTTTAACATGTGCTCTGGATGTACTGTCCTTAGTGAGAGGATTAATCCTCTGCTTTCTGAAACTACACACAGGGAGAAGAAAGCAAAAAGGAACTGCATATTTTATTAGAGTTGGCAAAATGTTTCTTTTTACACATACATTAGAGCAGATGACAACTAAAATCTTGTTCTGTAACCTGTGGTGTCTTCTCAGGGAATTGTGTCAGAGAGGTGGCCAGTTCCTCAACAAGCAAACACATGTCATTTTTTATTTAAAGAGTGATTACCTATTAGGCAGTTGTGGAATATATTGGCACAGAACTTGGTGTCTGTTGTGCAACATATGCAATTAATTGCACAATGGTGAGATCCAGTGTGATTACACTGGTGAGTATTTAGTTTACCCATCTGATTTTGGAAGCTAAGCAGGGCCTGCACTGATTAATACTTGGACAGGAGACCACCAGTGAATACCAGGTACTGTGGGCTGTATTTCAGAGGAAGGAATTGGCAAAGCCAGCTCTGAATATTCCATGCCTGAGAAAGCCCTATGAAATTCACAGGGTCACCATAAATTGACAGGTGATGTGAAGGCATTGACACTCACACAACCCACAGAAAATCTTGGCCTTTGCCAAGAGTTGTTCTATTTATATTTGTGATATATCATGCCAAGCAAAAAGGAAATTTATGGCAAATGTGAGCTCTTGAAAATGTTTGCATGCTTCATTTCAGACATGGGAGATGGGGGCAATTCTATGATTAATACAGTCAGACATATATTAAGTCAGACACACTATAGTGTTTTCAAAAATTAGAGGAAACCAACATTTCTTAACTATCCCAACACCTGCTTCTAAATTGCATTGCAATAGATGCAGAGGTGAATGAAGAAACAAGAGATATGCTTTGGGTTGTGTTTGTAGGTCAGGAATTCTGCCAAGGTAGAGACTCTGTGGATAAGTGGGTCTGAGGAAGCAGTATATACCATACAACTTGTACTAGATGGGATCGCACTTCTTCTGAAAGAACAGATTTTTTCCTCCAGGGTGTTCCTAAATTAGGGGTGGGAATTCTGTGGTCCTTTAGGTGTTGAATGGCAAATCCCAAAATTCTTCACTAGGCTAGCTTGGACTGCTGGAACTAGCAGTCTAGCCATATATGGATGACTTTCCAGCCCTGTCCTAGATTCACCATTTTCACCAATGGAACTTGTCAATCTATTGGAATTCAACAATGCTCTGAAAAAGCTACAGAGCCTTATAGTGGTGGTGAGTAAAATAGTAGATAGGGATTAAGGAAGTTTAGGGTGATCTGAGCTCTTCTTTCCTTTTATGATTATCTATTCTGCACGCACACACATTGGCTGACATAGTTTTACCATTTTTTTCATGTCAGGTGTGACTTGAGAAACTGCAAGCCACTTCTGGTGTGATAGAATTGGCCGCCTGCAAGGACATTGCCCAGGAGATGCCTGGATGTTTTAACATTCTCTGGGAGGCTTCTCTCATGTCCCCTTATGATAAGCTGGAGCTGACAGATGGGAGCTCACCCCACTCCCTGTATTCGAACCGCTGACCTGTTGGTCAGCAATCTTGCTGGCACAAGGGTTTGACTCATTGTGCCACAAGGGTTTTTACCATGCCTCTTCTCTATTTCCATTCCACCCTTGGAATTTTCCATTCTCTTATTCCATTCTCTTAGGATGTAGTCATGCTATGTCAGGATTAGTCCCGCTTTCCTATCGGTAAATAGAGTTCTCTTGGTAAAGATTACTTTAAATGTTAGCAACTAATGTCCTTGCTCCTTAAATGCTATTTCACACTCTTTCAGAGGTATGTTTACTCTGCTAATATGCATTACCTGTAGCTTTCAGTGATACATAGAGAACACATTCGATAAATGGCTACTATATCTTTTTCTGAAAAAAAATATTTTAAAAAGATTACAAAGTGAACAGATCATAATGAATTCTTACTAAGTTCATGTGGAAAATGCTAAAAACAAGATACTGATTATTGTATTTCCTCTCCCATTTTAGGTGGAATGGAGAACATAAAACAGCATACATTTGCTTTAGCTCACTATACCTATACCATCCTCTCTACCTTGAAATATGCTAATGGGGCACCTGTGGTGCACATATACAGTGATACAGACTTCAGCAGTGCAGATACCCAGGGTCCAATCATTAATTTTAATGTATTGGATGAAAATGGAGAGACAATTGGTTATTCACAGGTACATTTTAACAATTTGCCTCATATATTTTGCTGGTTGTTCTAAAATAACTATACACAATAACACTCTGGAGTGTTAAGAATCTTTTCTTCTGCATGGAGAAATAATGCACTTGATGTCCCCCCCCCCACTTCTATTGGTTTATGAGAAATATCAATTATTGTCCATAGTCTTTTCAGTCATTCAGCAAGAGGCTGTGAGAGTGAAATGTGACTAGGATAAGGACAGACAATTGGGTTTTTTTCTCCAGAACTGAGGGTGAGGTGGTGGAGCATCATTGATCGTGATGTGTAAGCTAATCTGCTCTGATCTTGTTCCCTATAGGACTTTCCATGCACCTTCATTTTCCCTTTGCTTAAGGAACTATTGGTGAAACAGTAGGAATTAAGATAATTATAAACAAAAGAAAAAGAAAAAAAATGTCCTGTCATGGCTGAACGTAAACTAACCAAATTTAGTCCAATCTGCCTTTCTGAAGTTGAATTTTCATTTAAATCGAACTTCCTGAGGCCTTATTGTTGGGAACAGTTGGCATACTATTGGTTGGTGCTGTGTGTTTGGGATTGGTGGTCCCACTGATTTGGTGCATTGCTGTACGATGCTGTCGCTCACAAATAAGAGGTCTGGGTTATAACCTCGGTGCCATCTCCCGCTGTTGTAGGATGGTGGGAGCTTTCTATCATGGATGAGTGATAGTTTAATGAGCAAACCCTTCAGGAAGCGCAGAGCATTGTGTCCTCCATCTCTGAAGCCAAGAAAGAACAGTGGATCAAGCTGATCACAGAGGTCAACATGGGCAGGAGCGGCCAGAAAGCCAGAAAGCGTGGAGGCTGCTGAGACGGCTGAGCAATGACCCCTCACAAACTAATACCTATGCCAACATAAAGGCAGATCAGATAGCACACCAACTCTTGAAGAATAGGAAACCCAACTTTGCCACCAAAGTAGGAAAGAAACCAATAGCCAGGCAACCAGAGATTGAGAACAGCAACCTCCATGAACCCTTTACACCTACTGAATTGGACATGGCTCTCAATAAATGTAAAAATGGCAAAGCAGCTGGCCTGGATGATCTACAGATGGAACAAATCAAGAACTTTGGTCCCAAAGCAAGGCGCTGGCTGCTGGAGCTGATGAACACTGCCAGATCTCCAAAATCTGGAGGAAAGCAAGCTATAAAAAGCTACAGACCAATCTCCCTGTTGTGCCACCTCTACAAAGTTCTGGAGAGACTTATCTTGCATAGAATTATGGAAAAAATAGACCCATGTCTGATCCCACAGCAAGCTGGCTTCAGAAAAGGCAAAAGCTGCACATCGCAAGTGTTGAACCTGACTCAGCACATAGAAGATGGCTTTGAAAGGCAGCAGATCACAGGAGCTGTCTTCATAGACCTGTCAGCAGCCTATGATACTGTGAACCACCGCCTCCTCCTGAGAAAAATGTATAATATCACAAAGGACTACCACCTCACCCGCCTCATAGGAAACCTGCTACAAAACAGGAGCTTTTTTGTTGAGTTCCAGGGCCAGAGAAGCAGATGGCGGAAACAGAAGAACGGCCTGCCTCAGGGGAGCGTGCTTGCTCCATCCATGTTCAACATCTACACAAATGACCAGCCACTGCCAGAAGGGACAGAGAGTTTCATCTATGCTGATGATCGTGCCATTACTGCTCAAGCAGGGAGCTTTGAGACGGTAGAACAGAAGCTCTCCGAAGCTCTAGGTGCTCTTACTGCCTATTACAGGGAAAACCAGCTGATCCCCAACCCATCTAAAACACAGACATGTGCCTTTCATCTCAAGAACAGAGAAGCATCCCGAGCTCTGAAGATCACCTGGGAAGGAATCCCGCTGGAGCATTGCAGCGCACCCAAATACCTGGGAGTCACTCTGGACCGTGCTCTTACCTACAAGAAGCACTGCCTGAACATCAAGCAAAAAGTGGGTGCTAGAAACAATATCATATGAAAGCTGACTGGCACAACCTGGGGATCACAACCAGATACAGTGAAGACATCTGCCCTTGCGCTATGCTACTCTGCTGCTGAGTATGCATGCCCAGTGTGGAACACATCTCACCACACTAAAACAGTGGATGTGGCTCTTAATGAGACATGCCGCATTATCACGGGGTGTCTGCCCTACACCACTGGAGAAATTACACTGCTTAGCCGGGATTGCACCACCTGACATCCACCGGGAAGTAGCAGCCAATAGTGAAAGGACCAAGGCAGTGACATCTCCAGCTCATCCCTTGTTTGGGTACCAGCCAGCACGTCAACGACTTAAATCAAGAAATAGTTTTCTTAGATCTACAGAGACACTCGCTGGAACACCTCAGCAAGCGAGAGTCCAAAAGTGGCAGGCTCAAACCCAGAACCTCAACCAATGGCTGATACCAAATGAGAGACTCCCTCCTGGGCACACAGAAGACTGGGCAACTTGGAAGGCACTGAACAGACTGCGCTCTGGCACCACGAGATGCAGAGCCAACCTTCAGAAATGGCGCTACAAAGTGGAATCCTCGACATGCGGGTGTGGTGAAGAGCAAACCACTGACCACCTGCTGCAATGCAACCTGAGCCCTGCCACATGCACAGTGGAGGACCTTCTTGCAGCAATACCGGAAGCACTCCAAGTGGCCAGATACTGGTCAAAGGACATTTAACCAACTACCAAACTCACAAGTTTTGTATTTGTCTGCTTGTTTGCTTTGTTCTGTTAATAATGTAATATAATGGACTGGTTGCTCTGACACAACAAATAAATAACTAACCAAAGCTGAGGAATTCATTCATTGTCAGGTTGAGTCATGGCAGGAAAGGCAAAGGCAATTTTTTGTCAGTAATCTAGACAGAGCAATGTTTTTAAAGAGATATGGCACATACTGGGTGTGGTCATATCAGCAAAGTGCCAGAAGCTTTTTGAAACCTTGAAGCAAAGTGAAAACCATCTGATTTGGCTTTGCTGTTAATTCCATTCTCTTTTAAGGTCATGTCTGAATTTTTAAAAGGACAGTTACTTAGTTATAGAGCCACTAGTTCCTGTAACATGGAGGTGAGAAGGGCAATGCCAAGAATATTGTATTCTTCCCCCTTGCATCCCCAAACTGTCAGACTTGTTTCTATATACACCCATCAGTGAATGATATGAAGAATGGGAAAGAAGACAACCTGGGAGTTGCATTTAAATCTTCCAGAAAATAATGGGGGATGGGAGAGTAGTTCTTAATGGAGCTACTTTTTTAGTGACTGACCCATTTACAGTGCAGTCCTGCCGCAGAAAATGGCCAAATAAACATAACTACAGGGAATAGTGTTTACTATAGCTGGTCTGTTTTCTTCAATACTATTATGAAAAATTATCCTTTTGTCCTTCTATGAGTTACATCACTAGAGTCTTTCAGGTGATATTGAAAACAGTCATGATTAACCCTCCCACCTCTTTAATTCTGCTAAAGAATATACTACTCAGTGATTGTCAAAGAATATGAATTAGATATTCCAATGCTTTTAAGAGCATGTTCATTCATTACATTAAGTGTGATGACTCCAGCTAAGACAAATATTCATAGCTGGCCTAATGGATTTTTTTGGCTATATTCCCAAAAACTGTCTCAAAACTACTGTGGTGATTGCTCAGTATTGATTTTTTAAAACATTGATCTAGCCATTAAGACTCCAGACAACTCAAAGAGGTTGATGGACTAGGACTACAAAATACAAATCAGATTAGGAGAAAGGCAATTCTGCTGATGCATTCAAATTCTAGTAATTCTTTAGCTTTGGATCATTTTTACTATTGTTAAATGGATGGCCTAGCACCCGATGCCCATGGTTAAAGCATTGGGTTGTGTTTTGTATAACCACAATAGAACAAATATTGGAGTGGTGTTTCATTATCACATGCTGCCAAAGTGCATTTTAGAATGGTTTGCAGTAAAACCTTTTAAAATGTGCTGCCAAATATACATTTATGGAAGAGAGGGTATGAATTTCCAAAATAAAATATTATGGTTAATGTATCCTGCATCAGTGCTCTAAAATCCACAGGGGCTGAACTAACATTTTGTCTGGAATTGCCGTGTCTTGTTCATCCTTTTCTTGCAGTGGGACCACACAGAATTGCTTTAAATTTACTCTTAGCATGGGTTTACTTTTGAAAAATATCAGAAAATTTCATTTGGTCCAAAACAGGGTAACTAGACTGCTAATCTAGGTGGACTGACAGTTTTATGAAATACATCTGTTTCTGAACTATAAGAAAGAGGATCATCTAAAATCTTTCACCAGGTATGGTGATGTGCTCTCCCATTATCTGAAGAAGTATAGTCCCTCCTCTATGGAAACATGATGTAATGACTTTAGATTACATTTATTTATCAGTATTATTAAGAGCAACAGAGATCATAGAGATAATTGATCAATGAGAATGACTGTTTGAGGAGAAGTATGGAAGTTTCCAAGATGCTTCCAAAATGAGAGCTTATAAAAGATGGTAACACAAAGTACAAGAAAGACTGAGAGATCTTGAGAATCTTTGAGGAATCTTTTGAGACTGATAGAAAGGTCAGGAAAATCCACCTTGTCAACATCTCTAGAGAGTCTTGGCTGTATGCTGGAGTAAGGTGTGCAGACTCCCAGCTTTCCATGAACATTCAGATCCGGAACATAATAATAATAATTATTAATTAATTATTTATTTATACCCTGCCACCATCTCCCTGAAGGGACTCAGTGCAGCTTACATGAGGACAAGCCTGTCAAATACAAATACAACAATACATCAACAAACAAGCTAGCAAATAAAACAATAAAAATAATACAATTGAACATATAAGCAATAAAACACAAAAAATTAAAAAACATTAAGGCAGGGCCAGATGTAGATTAAAATTTTAAAACCCTGGGCGTGTACAGAGTAGGGTATGTCTAGGCATTAGGTTTTTAAAAAGTGCTATGGGGGATCAATCCAACGGATAGATAAAGTGCTTCAGAGGACGTATAGAAGGAAATTAGTCAGATCAGGCATTATTTCCTTCATTCATGGAAGGCACACTGGAACAGCCACATTTTCAAACTCCTCCCAAAGACTGCTAAAGTGGGGGCTTGCCTGATACCTTTAGTTAGAGAGTTCCAGAGTTGGGGGGCCACCATAGAGAAGGCCCTTTCCCTTGTCCCCACCAATCATGCCTGCGAAGGGGGCGGGAGTAAGAGCAGGGCCCCTCCAGATGAACGAAGAGATCGCGTGGGTTGGTAAACAGAAATGCGGTCACGCAGGTAGTGCTCTAAAATCCACAGGGTCCCAAACTGTTCAGGGCTTTGTAGGTAAGAACCTGCACCTTGAATTGGGACCGGAAGATGAAAGGCAGCCAGTGGAGCTTCTTAAACAGGGGAGTAGACCGCTCCCTGTAAGTCGCTCCAGTTAGTAACCTGGCTGCTGCCCGTTGGACCAACTGAAATTTCCAGACCATCTTCAAGGGCAGCCCCACGTAGAGTGCATTGCAGTATTCCAATCTGGTGGTAACTAAGGCATGGACCACCATGGGCAGATCCGTCTTCATGGGGTACGGTCGCAGCTGGCAAATGAGTTTTAATTGTGCGAAGGCCCTCCCAGCCACCACCGATGCCTGAGCTTCAAGTGTTAGCGATGGGTCTAGGAGGACATCCAAGCTGCGGACCTGTGACTTCAGGGGGAGTGCAACCCCGTCAAGCACAGGTTGCCACCCTATACCCTGATCCAGCTTACGATCAACCTGGAGAACCTCTGTCTTGTCAGGATTGATCCTCAGCTTATTCACTTCACTTCACTTCACTTCACTTTATTTCTTAATTAGTCCCTCTCCACCAAGATGCTCCGAGCGACTTACAATTTAAAATAGCATTTCACAATATAAAAACATTCAACATAAAAACATCCAACAGTGACTATTTGGCAAATTAGATCTGATCACTTTACTTAAATGCACAACCAAACAGCCAAGTCTTGAGCGCTTTTACAAAAGGTCGCAACTCTGACATTGCTCTAATATATGGAGGCAATGAGTTCCACAGAATTGGAGCATAGGTCGAAAAGCTCTGCACCTTGTAGCTTCCAGGTGTACCTCCCTAGGGCCCGGTATGTATAGGAGATTTTCCTGGGTGGATCGAGGTAACCACTGATGGAAAACAGGAATGAGGTGGTCCCTAAGATATAAAGATCCTTGGCCATTTTGAGCTCTAAAAGTCAGGATCAGTATCTTGTAAGAGATCCGATGTTCTATTGGTAGCTGTCATGAACTCATACCTTTGCTAGGACGCAGCCTGGAAGTCAGTGAGCTGGCCTCCATGTTGGGAAGGCAGCTCAGGATGGCGGACATGATGGTATAGGCAGAGAGGCATAGGGAGGAGTCAGTTAACTCTTGATTGGTTCAGACCCCAAGGGGAGAAGTTGAAAGAGAGTGTAAATAGGCTGTCATTTCTGACAGAAGGAGGAGAGAAGGATTTGATCTAGCAGAGAAAAGATTAGGATTTCAGACAGGGAGAAGAGAGTTTCTTAATGAGCTAGGAATTAGCCTGTCAGGGAATAATTAAGAGCAAGTGCTCCTGTATAGTTTGACTACGGCAGTCAAAGTGAAGGCTTGTTTACTTGTATTAGGACAGAATACAAGTGGGGTTATTTCCCTAAAGGTCAGAGTAGTCCAGGGGAAACCTAGATACTCTGGAAGGCAGCCAGGGGTGGCTGGTCAAAGAATCTCACTGTTACATATTACAGGGTAGAGTGAGGAAAGTAGCTCATGTTAAGGAAAAGATACTCCTTCTAAAGAAACCATTTGCTTAATAAATCTGTGCTTCAGAAACAATTTACGCGTATGTACCTCTTAGTAGTCAGTTGTTTGTTTTAAATACTTCAATAAACCTGTTCTCTATTTTACTGTTAATCTGCCTCAGCCTTGTTTCATCATATAAGGTTAGATCCAGTAATCCTCCACATCTCTACAGTTCAGTCACCAGAAAGGGAGCCAAAAGGAAGAGCCGGTGTATAGGGACATTTTACCTCAAGTACAACAACAAGACAATTCCTCAAACTTTAATTTTGGGGTGGTGGCAGCAAACCTACCATTACACACTCACATTCCACAACACACATTAAAGTGTTTTGCGACAGGGCTGTCTTAGCGTTCTCGAAGAACCTAAGGGAGTAAAACCCTGTACTCTGATCTTTTAACGTGGTGTTCAGCCGAGAGTTATATAGCAGCTGGGGGAACGCGTGGGTGTGTGTGTGAGGGGATCTGTTAGAGACATATTAGTCTAAGATCTTCAGCACTCTGTTACAGTGGTGACCAGCAAAGAGATTTAAATTTTTGAGTCAATGCCATAAGGATCCCCCCCTCCCCAATTTAAATGTAAGATTCTTTTACATTGGTGGCAGTGGTGGGATAAAAAGGAAATGTCTCCCCTGCCACCTGCAAAACCATCATTCATCCTTTTACAGTAGCCAGTGCAGTTGTTGCAGAATCGGTGTAATATGAGATCTTATAGATGATCCCGCTAGCAGCCTGGCCGCCACTTTTAGGACCATCCGAATCTTCTGGGTTGTTGACTTCGGAAGGCCAGCGTATAAGGCGTTGCAATAGTCCCACCTAGTGGTGACTGTTGCATGGATTACTGTTGCCAATGCTTCTACCAAAATGTAGGATGCCAATTTCCTTGCCTGGCGAAGATGAAAAAAATCTCATCCTCATCCAGACAGTCACAGCGGCCACGCACTCGTCCAGCACCCTAGGGGCATCTTGGAGTTAGGGGAAAAGGAGTAGTAGAGTTGGGCATCATCTGCGTAGAGATGGCACCCAACTCCAAAACTCCAGATGACCTCTCCCAGCGGTTTCATGTAGATGTTAAAAAGCATGGGGGACAAAATGGAACCTTGCGGGACCCCACAGGTCAAAGGCCAGGGGTCCGAGCAGGTGTCCCCCAGCTTCACCATCTGGGAATGACTCTCCAGAAAGGTCCGGATCCACAACAAAGCCATGCCCCCAAGACCCATCCTAGAGAGCCCTCAGAAGGATACTATGGTTGATGATATCGAAAGCCACTGAGATGTCCAAGAGAACCAACAGGGTCACACTCCCCCTGTCCAGCTCCCTGCGGAGGTCATCCAGCAAGGCGACCAAAGCTGTCTCGGTACCATGACCAGGCCTAAACCCAGACTGTGACTGATCCAGGTAATCGATGTCCTCTAGGAATCCCTGGAGCTGAGAGGTGACCACCCGCTCCAGCACCTTGCCCAAAAAAGGGAGATTAGAGATTGGTCTGTAATTGCTCAAAACTATAGGGTCAAGGAAGGCCTTTTTCAGGATTGCGACACAGCCTGTTTTAGACCAATTGGGAATGTCCCCTGCTCCAGTGAAACATTAATGATCAATACAAACCAATCAATCAACCCGTCTCTAGCCAATTTAATTAGCCAGGAAGGGCAAGTGTTCAGAGCCGATGTGGTCTCCCTCACAGCCCAAGGATATCGTCAGGATGAACAAGCCGGAAAGAATCCCACAAATCAGACAAGCAGATGCCTCGGTCACCTCTTCTGGCCCTACATTTAAACTGGTGTCTAGCTCGAGGCGTATCCGAGCGACTTTATCTGCAAAATGGTGCGCAAAATCACAGCACTGGGCTGTTGGGTCATCGATGATCCCCTCCACCCCAGGGGGTTGGAGGAGTTCCCCAACGACCCGAAACAGCTCAGAAGGTCTATTGGATGCAGACGCTATGTGGGCAGTCAAGAAAGTCTCCTTGGCTACCCGTATAGCTGTGGTATAGGCCCTAATTGAGCCTCTAACCTGTGCTCGGTCGGAAACACCCCGAGATTTCCTCCAGATGCACTCCAGTCCCCTTCTCACCCATTTCATCTTAGCCAGCTCCTCAGAGAACCAAGGAGATGACGTGACTCTGCGCAGTGAGAGAGGACGTTTGGGAGCGATCGTGTCTGGCCACCTCGCTATTATAGCGATCAACCAGGGCGTCGACAGGATCATCTGTATCATGAATAGAATTAGAATATTCATTTCATCACAGAAGGTTTATTTTTCTTCTGACTTTAGCTAAATACTGTATGACCAAGACTGTAATGGTTGAAGGAAGGTGCCTTCATGTATTAGGTGCTCTCTTGCTAATGTAAGATTGCTTGCTTAGAATGAGGTGGTGTTGTTTGCAGAAAGAATTCAGCATCCTCTCTCCTACTCGAGCAAGAGACAGAACTGGGTTGCCAGGTTGCCCTCTTCTTCTAATGACTGAAAAATTGAAATGCTCAACATTTTGGTTGAGATGTTCATTTACATCTTCCACATTTTTGTTGTTACTACTGATGCTGACATAATGTATGTATCCTTTATATTTATCTGTATTGATGAATGAATGCTGCTTTCATTTTCATTATTTAGGCAAGCACAAGATTCTAAAAACGAAACCGCAGATTTGTAAATTTTTTTCATTACAGTCTGGTGGTTGATTGGGGCCACCAATCTCAGTGGACATCTCAGTGGCTTTATTTATTATGAAGTTATATAATAATGACTACACAATTATAGTTTCTATTCACAATCGTTTTAGGATATATAATCTAACAGTTGATGTGAATACCCTCAGCTAAGTAGACCCATTAAAATAATGGAAATGGTATATCTGTTGAGTGAGTCACCATTCAGTTGTTGATTTGATGGATCTATTCTAGTTTGGCCTAACCAACAGGATCCAGGCAATGTGTTAGTGGAGGTTTGTCTAAATTTCATATCTTACTTTTTTGATGTGAGGGGAACAAATTATTATTGTGTTATTATTCCTAATCTGAGAATTACTGATATTTGATTTAATTTTCTTTTTTTTCTTTTTCTTTTTGGCTGTTCTAAATCCACAAGGTAGACAAGTTGGCTGGATTGTACAACATCCACATGCGCACTGGTTGTTTTTGTAATACTGGTGCATGTCAGCAGCATTTAGGGATCAGCTCTGATGACATCAAAAAGAACCTAAAGGTCAGTGTATATTGGATCTGCCAGTCACCTCAATTACAGTGTTTAATGTACAACTGCATGTTTCCTAATATATCTCAGCAACATAATGGCATCACTTGAACAGGTTTTACCACCTTCATATTACCAATATTTGTTAATTCAAAAAGTAATACAAGGTCCCCCATGACCTTCTGGCAAGGAAACTAGTCCAATGTGGACTAGGCAATGTTGAACAGGACCGGGCCCAGGACGGAACCCTGCGGCACTCCACTTGTCACTTCTTTCCAGGATGAAGTGGAAGCATTGGTGAGCACCCTCTGGGTTCATCCATTTAACCAATTACAGATGCACCTCACTCCACACGGGATGGAGAAGCCTGTGGAGGGAGAAGCGCAGCAGAGCGGACGCCATTCCTGTGTAACAGACGATCCCTGGTGGCAAGGCAGGCGTCCGCAAACAGTGGAGGCAGCGCCAGGAGGGCGTGGCCAAGCGATGCTGGCTTCCCTGGCCTGGAAGCCTGGCCACGCCCACCCGGCGCCGCCTCCACCGTTTGCGCACGCCTTCCTCGTCACCAGGGATTTTCTATGGTAGAGCAATGGCGTCCGCTCTGCTGCGCTCTCTGTTCTCCGCGGGAGAGCAGAGAGCGCTTCTCCCTCCACAGGCTTCTCCATCCCATGTGGAAGGAGAAGCCTGTGGAGGCAGAAGCGCAGCAGAGCAGATGCTATTGGCGGCGGCGAGGGACTTTGGACAGGCCGCGCGGCGAGGGGCTTTGAACAGGACAGGACAGGCCGCGCGGGCCGGATAAAGGCCCTTGGCAGGCCGCATGCAGCCCGTGGGCCGTAGTTTGGGGACCCCTGATCTAGAATGAACAAAATGGATGGTAATTGAACCACTTCAAGTTCCAGAGAGAAGGAGGAGTTAGCACAGAGAAACAGAACTAAAAAGGCAAACAAAAACCACTAAGAAGAAGATTGGAAGACCAATATGCCTTTTTTTCTTCCCCCCTCCCTTTTTCCCCTTTCTGCCCCTACCCCAACTACATCCCCTTCCCTCCCTCACATACCACACCTCTTTCTGTACTCTTAATCTTATTTCTTTCTTTAAAACTTCAATAAAAATTAACAAAGAATAAGAAGTTAGAATAGTTTTATGGAAGTGTCTAGGATTTTCAGTATAATGGCTCAGGCTAAATCTTTGGTCTCTCCCACAAACAACGTTGGAAATTTGCTGCCAATTGCATTCACTGTATTAGCATTCTAATTTGGTATAAGGTATCTTCAGATATTTGGATGTTAATGTTTTAATACGACAGATAAGACTGGAATAAGATAGCAAAGCTTGTACACTGACATCATAGACTGGCTTAGCCTTGCCTTGTGATGAGTGAGATCCCCCAAAACAATGTGTGCAGTTCTTTGCAAGACTCTACTTCAGAGCTTTCCACATTATTCATTTTGGTGACACACTTTTAAGACATGCATCATTTCACAACATTGTTACTCAGTTTTACTAGCAAACCGGAGGTTAAATCAACCCTTATAAGAGATACTGGAAATGACGTGGAATCAGCTTCCTCGACCCGATTACAAATTTTGTGCAGTACCTGTACGATTTGACACTTCCATCAGATCATACAGGTGCTGTATAATATTTGCAATATGCAAGAGCACCAAACTAAAAATGCATGCAAGTTGGTATTGCTTATTTCACATAGATTCAGAGGTTTCTGGTTACATTTGCATGACACACCTACAAATAACAACGGACACACTAATGTGTTGCAACACACAGATTAGAAAGCTCTGCTCTACTTTATGCCTTACCCAAGAACTCTTTTGTTTCCATCAGGTTGATGTATTTACGGTCAGCCCTCTGCCTTTCTCTTTAAAAAAATCCCTGAAGAAAAATCTCTAAAGCAGACCATTTCACTATACCACTGTATATAATGAGTCCTGGGTACCCCAGCAGATACCGAGGGAACCACTTTATTTGTTAGGCTCTTTCCACCAATACAGGGCCAGACTTTTATTGCATAATTGTATTCTCTCTTTGGACAAGTGATAAGACATTACACATAAGTAGGAAACCAGTAATTGCAAGCCACAGCAATAATAACTAATATAAAAATAGCAATAATAACTAATATAAAAACAAAAAGAACAACACTGATTTTTTTGTTAGAGCTCACAATTCAATCCTATAATTTTTTAAAAATCAGTGTATTTCAGTTTATAGAAGTCCCAAGTGAGTAGTAAGAAAACAAATAAAGACTAAACAGATTTCTCTAAGCCTGACTAATCACAGTCCCTGAGTAAAATAAACTTCATTCTTTTCCTGTTGCCTTCTTCTCATGTTGCAGACAAGTTTCTTGCAGAATCATATTAGCAAACTTTTCTTCAAAAAATGTGCACACCCTGTTCTCTCACAGATCATACCTCACATTGGCTATTCTTCTGAATCCTTTCTTGAGTTCCTTCTTGGTCTACTTGTGTCTCTGTTCTATCTTTTGTCTTCTTCACTTTTTTCCTGCAAGCTTAGTTGTCCTTCCAGCTCTCTTTTCACAGCTTTTATTCAGCTTCCTTTTTCACCATCCCCCCAACTTTTTTGACACAAGTGAAAGGATTGCTCTTTCACACAGTAGACAGAACTGTATATATCAGTTATTTTTAAAGGAAGTAATCTTATTGCTATTAAATAGTAAACTATGCCATTGCATACTAAATAGTTTACAGTAACTTAAGTATGTTTCTTTTTATTTAACCAGGCTGGTCATGTGTGTGGAGATGACATTGATGTAATTGATGGATGTCCTACTGGCTCTGTGAGAATCTCTTTTGGTTATATGTCTACATTTGAAGATGCACAAGCTTTTCTAAAATTCATTATAGCCACCAGACTCTCTGGCTGCACTATGGTTAAAGTTACATCTTCAAGAGATGGCATTTCAGAATTTGTAGCACCTCCCAAAGAGAATGACCACACATATGATGACAGAAGCACTAACAAGGTGCTACATGAAAGGACCATTGAGGATTCTCATCTTAGTGCTAATTCTGCTTCAGTGAATATGCCAATCAATCTACAGCCTATTCGGGGACATGCAGAAAGGACCGTGCCTGATGTTTTAGGGAATTCAGTTGAAACATTACCAAGTGATGGAAGGACAGTTGTCATCACCAATATTTATCTGTATCCTATCAAATCATGTGCTGCGTTTGAGGTAAATTATTTTCATGATACTGTAAAACAACCATTTTGCCATTTTATTGATGATAGTGTTGACTGCATGTAGGCTACTTCCAAGTGGCATGGAGTTCTAGTGCTTTTTGAGGTTTCCATTTCCTTGTGGTGGAGTTATCAACAATTTAGGGCATTACTGTGATCTATAATTAATTTCCCACAAACAATACTACCTCTCCAGGACATTGGGATTGTGTGCTACTGTGAAGGAAGAGGTTATGCTGATGGCAGAAGTGCTGCTGGTAGAGTTTCCCAAATCAGATAGGCATTTGCTGAGTAGCCAGACTAAATGTGCCAAACAGTACTGGACAGCAGCAATTGTTGTTGTTGTTGTTGTTGTTTTATTATATTTCTTACCCAGCTCTCCTCCTGCTTGAAACAGGTTGCAGCATAGTTAAAACATATAAACATGGTAAAGATTCTATAAATACACATATCAAATGTATTTCTTTAAAAGATACATATTAAAACACATTTCCATAAAATACATATTAAAATACACAGAACAGAGATTACAACACAGGACATGAGTTTAAAATACATGATTAAAACTGGCTAGGTAGTGGAGGGATGATACTGGTAGAATATATGTCAGAAACAACAGCAGTGGCACCATAGCTAACACTCGGTAATATTGTATGAGTTGAAGCATACTAATTTAATAAAGATACTTTACTACAAAATTCCCATGATGTGACAATCCAAATGAACCAAGAGAGAATGCCAGAAGATGAAACTCCTAGGTCAGATTGCACCACTGGGATATAGTACAGGACAACTACAAGTCGCACTGTGTTGAATAATGCAACTGCAGTCAGGTTGAAAGGATGCTGTTGATGTGATCACAGGCAAAAGGAAAGTGTGAAGCTTCACAGCACATACTACCAGAATATTGAATGAGAGAATCATGAATGAGAGCTAGACATGGTAAAACAAAAACAAAAAAAAAAAAAAACCTGGAATATATAAACATAATAATTGCAGGAGCAGGCTAAAATAGAAAGGAATGAGACATTTTGAGTCTGATGATTCTAGTGTGCTTTACACAGGAAATGAAAATCTAGGAAGAAATGAGGTCACATTTATAGTGAGGAGAGGTGTAATAAAAGCAGTTAAACTAATGTAAAGTCTGGTGAAATCATGTCAATAAGACTCCAGAGGAAACTCATCAATGTAACCTTACTTCAAGTTTATGCTCTAACTATAGGAACAGGGGAAAATGAATGATTGTGCTGGGGCCTAGAAGGAAATAAAGTATATACATACATACCAAAACCCCTACTTGAATAACTTAATCTAAATCTACTCTAAATATTAAATCACTAATTTGCATGCTTGTACCCTTTGGCATGATGTGGGCTGCAGCCAGTGATTGGTTTTAAACAGTAGAAGCAAATCTTGAACATACTATAATTGGGAGGAAACACATTTGCATTACAAAGAAATGTTATAATTAAAAATACATTTGCAACAAAATATGACATTTGTTGTGGCAATTTTTGAAAGTTCATGCTTTGAAGATTTTAATTGGTTTTCTTTTTCAAAGTTAATAACTTACCTTGCCTGTTTGTTTTTTTTTAAACGAGGTATGATGAAATACATGGGTGGTCTGCACACTGACCTAGAAACTAATTTTCCTGTGCAGCATTTTGCAGTGTATTAATTACTGTTAATATTATTAGAGTTTCTGTTGTGAAAATTTACTAGTATGGTTCATAGTCCTTGCACTTCACTGAAAATTGAAATCAATAGCATTGACGAGTCATCTGCTTTTGAAATATTTTCTGTTTAATAAGGTTTGAAGATAAAATTAATGAGAAAGATGAGCAAAACTGTGACATGTTTTTATGAGTATAAATACAGTAAGTTGAGTTCTAAGTTTACAACCTTGTCAAGCAACACATTTCTCATTCAAAATTCCATGCAATAGCAATGCCACAGCTAAATCACATACTTTACAAGTATTAATTGTTGTGGCAAAATGTGCAAGATTTTGTTTAAAAATATGAAAAGGTTGAATCCCCCAATCTGACTTCATTATTCATATTAAGTCAAGGTACATGAACCAAATCCTTCAGAAGTTCCATGGTACCATAAAATCAGAGAACACTTTGGTCTCTATATATTGTGGCATAAATATCACAGATCTGTTTCCAGCAGTATAATGACAGGCATTTTGTGATGACTTGCCATGATCCCACACTTCACAGAATGCAACATGTACCCGAAAGGCTCCAAAGGTTAGGAAAACCTCTAGGTAGCATGAAACAGAGGGTTCCAACAGGCAGAAGCTGCCTTAGAATCAAAAAAAAAAATCTCACACCTTTCAAAAGGCTAAAGAAAAACTTGGCATGGGAAAAGTAGGCACACACTTCGGTGAGTCAAAGGGCAAAAATCATATATTTATACACGATATGTGCATATACTCTTTTTGAGATCTATTTAGACAGCATTAGGTTATATCCAATAAATAAATATTGATGTTTCCCTCAGCTATATTAACAGAGTAATACAAAAATAGTTGAACATGTTCATTTTCATCAGAGACTTATATGATGGCAGTGAGCCAGAAGAAAGACAGAAAACTAGCTGTTTCCAAACTCATGCTTTTCACAATCTGCAAACTATTATATCAAGGAACCTCAGTTTTATATACTTGTGACCTCATCAGATGGGTGTAGGGCTCCATTTCCATGCATTGTGGAAATGGAACTCCATAGGAGTCCCATGGAGGCCATCACATGATGTAAGGGCACTTCTCCAGGGATTCCATGGGGCTCTGTTTCCACAGTGCATGGAAACAGAATAATATACCCATCTTCAGATACCTGACTCCAAACAGCTTTAAGATAGAAGAAAGATGGGCATCAATGTGGTAAGGATGTAGAATAGCTGACCATCCCACAAGTTGATGAAAGACAGGAAGGAATGGGGTAAGATGCTTCCTTCCACTTTCCCCTGCTTTCCTCCATTTTCCCCTTCTCCATCTGATGGAAGTCCTTAGCCAAGTTTGGTTAATTCATCCAAGTTCCCTCACCCCAGATAACTTTGGGGCCTGAAGCAAAATAGGTTACTGATGTTTGGGGAGACCTGGACATTCAGGAGGCATATTTGGATTTGGGCTATTGCTTAACAATTGTTAGAGGGTCTGAGGTAGTTTTTCTATTGTTTCCTCCATTACCTTAGCTTAAAAGAATAAACCAGTCTTGGCTGCAGATTGTCAAGCACCCTGACATTACACAATAATATAGAATTGGGAGAAAAAATGCTACTTAAGGTAATAACTACATAGTGATACTCACATGATGTAATTCCAAGAGGAAATGTATTTTCCCATTGGAATGCCCTTCTGAACAACTCCACATGAACATTGTTCATAGTATTGTTGTAAAGGGGTGTGCTTGTTACGTTTTCAGAACACCAACAAAAACAGAGCTAAATCACAACTTGGACTCTTTGTATGTGTGCAAAATGATAACATCCTTTGGATCATCTAATTGTTAATAGTCAGCACCATAAAACACTTTGATTTTCACACATTTACAAAAGTACTTTGCCTTATTTTATTGTCAAGTGTGATAAAGAACTGACAAAGGATGGGGTTGTACACATTCCTCCATTTTATTTTAGTATGCAGAGGGGTAACCATGGCAGTCTCTTGTAGCATAAACTAGAAAGAAGAGAACTTATAAACAAAAACATTATTTTGATATACAAAACTTTCTATCACAAGTGTGTTAAGTGTTTAAGACAACCATAAGTCTTATTGGGTTAATCCTATTCCAGTTATTCTTAAAACCTGTTGAAACCAATGGCACTTAGATTAACCATTAAGTAAGCTGAGTTCCTTGTTCTGAGTATGGCTTAAACTGGGTCCCATCTTTGTCCTTTTATCTGAAACATTTATATCCTAATTCTAATTTATAAACATAAACTGCTAGCAGCATGCTTTAAAATTCCATTAAAATTGCATGTCATTTCCCTGAGAGAAAAAGGAGGAAAGAGGAAAAAGAGAGACTGCTAAATGTAATAGTGTAGTCATCAGACACTGAAGAGGTAATACTTCCCACTATAAGCTGTTGTGACCTTAGATCACGGGTCCTCAAACTAAGGCCCGGGAGCCGGATGCGGCCCTCCAAGGTCATTTACCTGGCCCTCACTCAGGGTCAACCTAAGTCTGGATTGACTTGAAAGCACACAACAACAACAACAACAATCCTTTCTCATCAGCCAAAAGCAGGCCCACACTTGCCATTGAAACACTTATAAGTTTATATTTGTTAAAATTGTTCTTCATTTTAATTATTGTATTGTTTTAAGTGTTTTTTGCACTACAAATAAGATATGTGCAGTGTGCATAGGAATTAATTCATTTTTTTCCAAATTATAATCCGGCCCTCCAACAGTTTGACAGACTGTGACCTGGCCCTCTGTTTAAAAAGTTTGAGGACCCCTGCCTTAGATAAATCACTTCTGGGAAGGAGAACAGATTGTGTTCAAATTGCAAGGAAGAGGAAGAAAACTTTGCCCTTTATTTTTTAAGAACCAATAATGTCCCACATTGTAAAGCACCTCTCCAAATAACTTACCATCAATATTACGAATCATTGGGTGACCTTACATTGTATGTTGCTTTCTGAAAGTTTTTCTAGAAAAAATATCCATCTAAAATGTAAATTGTTATTTCTGAAAGAAACAGTTATTGTAAGGGAATGGACATATGCTGAGAAAGGGACTAGTCTGGGTGAGTGATAGTGATGCTATATGTATGAAAAATGGCTATGTAAGATTGATGTCTGTTTTCTTACAAGTTTTCAGCAAGACAGTACCTGACATTATATCTGCCTCGGTATTCGACTTTCAAACCACAGTTATTGGAAAAGTCTCTGTCTCTCTTCAGCAAAGACAAGCTATACATTATTATTAGCTCTTTACAGTCGTTACAAAAACAACTATATATGCATTAAACTGAAATGAGGATCGCCAGAAAAAAGGGCAAAGAATACTGATTTTCACCGCATAATAGTTACAAGCCCTTTTACGCCTTTAGAAAAGGAGATGCAACTATTGTGCAATGAAATACAGTTAACCCTGCCTGTGCTACTATTCTCATCAGTTCTTAATACTTTCGAGTTCAAATCTTAATACATTCTAGTCAATCTGAAGTGACCAGTAGCTGCTTTGCATTAAAAATGGGCAAAACAATTTAGAACATTTGAATCAAACATCTCTTATTAGAATTACCTATTACCCCCACTGTAAAATAGTAACCCCTAGGTTGTAATGGGAGCATTACTTTTGTGACTAGAGCTTGCTAACTTTAGCATAGTACCATATGAATAACATAAAATACTTCATTAGTTTGGAAACAAGGTTAAAACATCCTTGGCTAAGTGTCATATTTTCCTCCTTCAGGTTACAACGTGGCCAGTTGTTAATCAAGGCTTGTTGTATGACCGTAACTGGATGGTTGCAAATCAAAATGGTGTTTGTATTACTCAAAAGCAAGAGCCAAGATTGTGCCTTATACAACCAATAATTAATCTGGAACAAAATGTGATGATAATCAAGGCAGAAGGTCAGTAAATGAGATTCTTCATCCTTTTTCTGTGGGACAACTGGAGTAAAATGTACATTATCATAAATCACAAATATTTCTGAAATGGTTCTTAGAATTTCAGCTATTGGGATAGAAGATAATTCCTCCATGGGTTAGGTGACTCTTTCAGGGATCTACATCTCCATGTTTCTTTGTCCAATACAAATGCTCTTGGGATAATGAGGCCTTTGTTATGGATCTTTATTATTTATTTTGTTTTACTAGGCCTTTATTACAGACCCAGTTTCAACTGCTTGTTCAGTCAGCTTCAAGACAAGTTTGACATCAAATAATGGTCATGCACAGGGTCCCAAGGGATCCTTTAATAATAATAATAATAATAATAATAATAATAATAATAATAATTATTATTATTATTATTATTATAGAAACCCCGGTGGCGCAGTGGGTTAAACCCCTGTGCCGGCAGAACTGAAGACCGACATGTTGCAGGTTCAAATCCGGAGAGAGCGTAGATAAGCTCCCTTTGTCAGCTCCTCATGCGGAGACATGAGAGAAACCTCCCACACAGATGGTAAAACATCAAAACATCTGGGCATCCCCTGGGCAACGTCCTTGGAGACAGCCAATTCTCTCACACCAGAAGCAACTTGCAGTTTCTCAAGTTGCTCATGATACGACAAAAAAAAAATATTACTATTAATATCCCACCCCATCTCCCGAGATGGACTCAGGGCACCTTACAAAACAGCAGCAATGCAAACAGGACAACATATTATATAAAAATTCAACAATAGCCTAATCAGTGTACAGCAACCAAAAAAAAAAAAGCTAAAGCATGACCATGAAATTGAACATAAACCACATAAAATTAAAATAAAATGACAATACACATAACAAGGTTAAGAGAGAGAAGTTAAAACCATGGTATATAAACCCATTTAGAGTACCCAGCCACGAATCAATTAATATCAACACCAGGGTAACTTCAGCCATCGTTAGATCCTTTAATTATTGGATGTTTTATTAGCCCTTATCAAAGTCTATTTGAAAAGCCATGTCTTCAATTCTCTCCAAAAAGTTTGAAGTGTGGGGGCCTAACTAATCTCCCTGGGGCATTCCAGAGCCGGGGGGGGGGCACAATTGAGAATGCCCTCTCCCTCATCCCCACTAACTGAGCTTGTGACGGAGGTGGGACTGAGAGGAGGGCCTCTCCAGCTGATCTTATAGCCCGTGCAGATTCATAGAGGGGACCTTTCTCTAGAATCTCTTTCATATTTTTTGATTTGATAACGTTCAGCCAAGTTAGGAGTTTGACATTAGTAAGATCTTTTAAAATATTTTCTTAGAACTGTATAAAATAAAAATATACAAATAAGTCACTTTACGTATTACATAAAGAAAGAATGAATGGAGTGGAAAACAGGAAAAAATGTAAGAGGGAGGCAAAGTATAGCAAAAAAAGTAAAAATTGCAATCTTTTTCATAACTACAATCACTAAATTCTGAAGCCTTCGCCGTTTTTATAAATATAAAACAAAACTACACTTTTTTCCTAGTCTGTCAATATTTCAAGTAGACATATGAATACTAGCTTGCTATACTAAATACAGACCCTCTGCAGAAAGTTAGTAAAGGGTTAACTCCAGTATCTATTCATTAGTATTAATAATAATAATTACTTTTATTCAAACAAGAAACAATCTTGCATTCTTCCAAATTCTTATAATCCTAAAATTTGTTTAAGAATTAGAATTAACAATTTAACACACCTGTTAATTATTGTTCTGACACCATTACATTAATGCCTCTTCTATTAATAAAATTCACTTCTCCTCATTATACAGACATAATATAAGAATTCATATATTTTATTAAATGAAAAAGTATTTTTTCCTTTTGATTCTGACAGTAGAATATCAGTAAATATTTGTAATAATCACCTCTCAAGTTTTAAATGAAATTAACCCTACTTCATTATCCCCACAATGTAATAAATAACAGTACATATTTTAAATATACTTTTCCACACCATCACCCCATCTTAATCCCCACCTCTTCCTAATATATTTTCAATATTTTCTTCATCTCACAGTAGATATTTTCATCACAACTTCAATATTTTTGAACGTTATATTTATATCTTCAACATTCTCAGTTGTATTAGACTGATCTTGTGTCCAGTTCTGGGCACCACAATTGAAGAGATATTGACAAGCTGGAATGTGCTCAGAAGAGGGTGACTAAAATGATTAAGAGTCTGGAGAACAAATCCTATGAGGAGCAGCTTAAAGAGCTGGGCATGTGTAATATTCTTACCTAGTAGGCCGAAGGAGAAGCCTGGGATATCAGTAGGCAGGCCTCCATTTTGGGAGTGTAAACAAAGGAAGCAGACATCTTGTGAGTGTAAAGTGAGAAGAGAGGAGGAGCTGGAGCTCTCTTGGGATTGGTTAGGATAGATGGGAGGAGTTGTCCTGAGAGGGGAAAGTGTCAGCTTCACAGAGAGGAGTGAGATGAGTTTTGGGAACTGACGAGAGAAGAGGTGTTTTTGAGCTAGGATTTTTCTGACAGAGAGCGTTTGTGACAGGCAAGGCTGCATTATTGGTAAGGACAGTCAAGTAGTCGCCTGGGTGCTTGTGTGGGTTTACACAAGTGGTTTGCTCTCTGGGTAGAGTAGATTAGCCATATAGAGAACTCTGCTTAGAGTGGGCTAATTGCTCTGAGGACAGCCTGAGTAGGTTAGTCTGGGGACCTCACTGCTACTGTGTTACTGTAGAGTGAGGAGTTTTACTGGTGATTCAGTCAAGTAACTTGTTTATAGAAGCCATCAAGAATATTGTATTCTAGTAACCATTTAAGCTTTTGTGCTTCATTGATCTTATAAATAAATATTTTCTCTATTTCAACCTTTAAAGAAGCCTCAGTAGTATATCATTCTTGTGGGGAATATTCTAGTTGTTTTAACATCTTAACATCACAGTCATCTCTGGGAGCTAAGGGAGAGCTGGGTGGCAGGAAGAAGTTTACCTCAGAGAAACATCTTTAATATCCTAAGTTGTCTTAGGTGGTGGCAGCAAATCTACCAGAGCACACACACGTTACCTCATATATATATAGACGCTCCGTGCCAGAATTCTTAGTCCCATAAATTGGTGTCCAGCTGTGGGATTAGTAACCATGATCCTTTAAAGTGGTGTCAGTGGTGGGATGTGATATATCCCCCCCCCCACTGACAGTGTAAAAGGTCCCTTCACCCTATCTTATTCCTTTAAAGTGGTGACCAGTGGTGTGGTTTAGATTAGCATACTTATAATAACTCCATGTCAGGATCAGATTTCTTTATAGCACATTTAGCCTGAAGAACAGAAGGCTGAGAGGAGACATGATAGCCATGTATAAGAGGAAGTCATAGGGAGAAGGGAACAAGCTTGTTTGCTGCCCTGGAGATTAAGACGCAGAACAATGGCTTCAAACTACAAGAAAAGAGATTCCATCTCAACATAAGGAAGAACTTCCTGACTGTGAGAGCCATTCAGCAGTGTAACTCTCTGCCCCAGAGTATAGTGGAGGCTCCTTCTTTGGAAGCTTTTAAATAGAGGCTGGATGGCCATCTGTCAGGGGTGCTTTGAATGCAATTTTCCTGCTTCTTGGAGGGTGGTTGGACTGGATGGCCCATGAGGTCTCTTCCAACTCTATGATTCTAACCTGCTTGTTAAGCTTTTCATCTAATATCACATCCCACCTTGTTCATTCATTGCCTTTCCCTCCCCTGACAATATATTTTTTTGTTCAAACACATCGACATCTTGCAATTTTTGATTAATCTTATTGTTATAATGGTCGTCGTCATCATCATCACAATTCATCCCATCATTTTTGTACTCGGTTGATTGTTCAAAACATAAACTGCTTTTAGATTCCCTGTCTCCTCTCTCAAAGACTTGAACAAGGACTTTGACATGGACTTTAACATTCTTCTCATTCCTCTGAAATTAGCAAACACCAGTCCAAAAAAAGTTTCCAACCCTTTTGGCCATTGCAAACTCTATTGCTTCTAATTTAGTGCTGTGTTGCTTTTAGTATTATTGGAACTTTCTGTGCTTATTTCAAAAAGAAGGTAGCTTACTGAGGCAGAAATATCACAGATGGGTCCAAGATTCCTCCAATTCCAAATCTTAATACATTACATCTAGAAATGAGAAGATTTGGGGTTCAGTGTCTATAGAGATCTGCTTTCCAATTCTTCAGATGAGAAGATGATGAGAGGTAAAAAGGTGGATGGAAAGAAAGTGTATGTTGTGTGTATGTGGTAACAGGCCAATGATTCTGAAAAACAGCAGAAGTTACTCTTATAACAGTTTGGCCGGTGATGCTCATGTCAGTGAGGCAGTGCATTTTTTGGCTTTTAATCTGAATGTTAAGCATTCAGGCTGGATCTAAACTGACATATAACCTACTATCTGATCCAGGATTATCTGCTTTGAACTGATTATATGAGTCTACACGGCCATATAATCCAGATCAAAGCAGATAATATGGGATCCGAAACTGGATTATATGGCAATGTAGACCTAGTCTCAGATTAAACAAGTTGATAAACCTGTTTGAAGGATCAGGTTCGGCTTCTTAGGCAGCGTCTTTAGGTTTTGGAATAAATTCCAAAGAAGATCCATTACTCAAGTACATAACATAATTTCTCACACATGATTCCATCTTCCAGTTTCTCCACTGCTTTGGTGAATATTTAATACAGATGGGATCTGTGATAGAATTTTGCTAAATTTCTATGCTAAACTGTAAGGTCAGAACACACCATTGATAAAAAAATATTTGGAGAGTTTGTCCAGCTATGCTGGTTTGTTTCTTAATGACTGTAATGCGCATGTGAAATTATTGGATAAACCTAAGTACCCAGATGGCAAAAATAATTTGTTTTGCTATGGAAGATTATTTTCAATTAGCCATGTCCAATAACATCATATTTTTCTTTTATTCTATAAGTGATTGCAGTTTCTACAATCCCTCTGTTCATTTTATTTTAAGGTAGGATAATATAGCCAGAAAAAAGTATTGCTGATTGTTTTTAAGTCTTTTTAAATCTGAAGGGGAAGGGGATGTGTGTGTACTCCAAGCTACTGATTAAGCCTAATTAATATTTTCCTAAATGATACACATTTTAATGGCAGGCATTTGTATTTTCTCCTTTAAATATGGCATGTTTTTTCAATAGGATTCTCTCTTTGCACTCTATTTTTTAAAAGCCCATATTTTCCTTTTATTACAAATTACAGAGGTGTGATAAAGTTGTCTTTTTCTTGGTAGGCAATAGTCATGGTGGCCACAGTAAATTTATGCCAGTCTCAATATATGCAGCGAAAGCTACACAAACCATTGCTAAATCCTCGTTTAATAGTATTTGGAGCCACCTACAGGCCTCAAAATGTAATATTCTACAGTAGCTATATTATTTTAACCTGGTGTAGTTCTAATTGCTACTCCCTAAAAATCATTGTCCATACCTAGTCATTACTCCCAACTATATCAGGTCCATTGAATTAATGGAATTTACATAAGTGTTTATTAACTGTGTTCCAGCTGAGACTAGCAATTAGATTTAGTCTCAACTGGAATTCAGTTAATCATCACTTAGCCCCAGAAGTAGCCCCACTCTTCTAGCAATCTTCCTCTGAGTGAACTCTCCCCTTTTTTCTTGTAATCATTAATGGTTTTATGTTACATTCCCATGATGCTACACCTGGTTTTCTTGTTTGTATCAAAACAAAGTACATAAACATTGAATCTTCGGACATTGAACTCTGGAAAACTTCATACCCTCAGACTACAAGATTGTGTGAAATACCTGTGAAAGCAGTTGCTCCTTTAATTGAAAGAAAATTAAAATAAATGCAAATTTTACACAAGAGAATCAGCAGCATACCTCTAAGAACAGAGGGAGGGAAAAAAGAGTGGATTTTTAAATTAAAAAATGAAGTTTAGGCACTGCTTTAATTCAACAGAGTATCTAACAATAACATTGCAAGGGGTCATAAAAGAGGAAGATAAATTCTTGCCTAAAATACCATGTGGGGGGAAAAAACTCTCTGAACATCATTTTTAACTGTGTGTGTGTGTGAGAGAGAGAGAGATTATAAATAGGAGAGTGAATAACTGGAGAAGGGGACAGGTGAGAATGAAAGCGAGAGATAGTTTCACACTGGTGATTTTGGACTCAAGCATTTTGGAGAAAGGTAAAGACCTAAGAAAGGGAGAAAAGAAGAAAGGAAGAAAAAGGGGGGGGGGGAGAGAGAGAGAAGTATGTGGAAAAACCGAAAAAGCAAAAATAAACCATAAGTCACAGTTTGATCCATATGTAGGAGGAGAATTCACCTGGTGAATAATAATACATTTATTAGAAACACTAATTAGAATAATTAGAATAATAATACATTTATTAGAAACACTGAAATACCACAAATGAGGGCTTTCCAGTTCCCCAGAACCTTTTCTTAGGTTAGTTAGTACAAATTTAAAGAATAATAGAAGAAGAAGAAGAAAAACCCAGCCAAGATTGGATATTTATGACATTTCTTTTGCAATTATTGAAAAGATTTTTATTCCTTTCCACTCCTGATATTTACCTTTTGTTCTTTCTCTCTTTCTTTTTTCTTTCTTTTCTTTCTTTCTTGTAGTTACCCCATTCAATCCATCCTAATCTTTCCTATTTGCCCCAATCTTTTATACTATCAAAAACATGTTTTTAATCAATAAAATTTTATTCTGGATTTTAAAACTTAGCAAAATATTAAGAAACCAGAGAGGAAGAGTTTATTGGCTTATGTAGCAATTAAAAGAGAACTTAGTCAATGCAGATATTTTGCCTCTCACCTGCAGATGTGAAAAAGAGAGAAAGATAAAATTAGAGGAATTCTTCCAGGATCAAAAGTAATTAAGTACTTACTTACTTAGGCGATCCCTCGTTTTCCGAGGATGATTGTCTTCCAGTGTTCTTGTGGGTCCGTATGTGGCTGTGGAGCCCTATTCTTGCTCTGCATCTTCTTCCGCAGTGAGGGCATTGGTTTCCAGGGGGAAGGCGGTCTCAGTCGGGGTTGGCTTGACGTGCCGTCCTCTTGGCACGCTTCTCCCTTTCGCCCTCCATTCGTGCCTCTTCAAATTCTGCAGCACTGCTGGTCACAGCTGACCTCCAGCTGGAGTGGTCAAGGGCCAGGGCTTCCCAGTTCTCAGTGTCTATGCCAGAGTTTTTAAGGTTGGCTTTGAGCCCATCTTTAAATCTCTTTTCCTGTCCACCAATATTCTGTTTTCCGTTCTTAAGTTCGGAATAGAGCAACTGCTTTGGGAGATGGTGGTCAGGCATCCGGACAACGTGGCGGTGGACCATTGCTTCAATGCTGGTGGTTTTTGCTTCTTCCAGCACACTGACGTTTGTCCACCTATCTTCCCAAGAGACTTGCAGGATTTTCCGGAGGCAGCGCTGATGGAATCGTTCCAGGAGTTGCATGTGGCGTCTTTAGACAGTCCACGACTCACAGGCATATAGCAGGGTTGGGAGGACAATAGCTCTATAAACAAGCACCTTGGTATCCCTATGGATGTCCCTGTCCTCAAACACTCTCTGCTTCATTTGGAAAAATGCTGCGCTCACAGAGCTCAGGTGGTGTTGTATTTTGGTGTCGATGTTGACTTTGGTGGAGAGGTGGCTGCCAAGGTAGTGGAAATGATCAACATTTTCTAATGTTACACCATTAAGCTGTATCACTGGCATTGGAGAGGGGTTGGCTGGTGTCTGCTGGAACAGCACCTTGGTTTTTTCAATGTTCAATGACAGGCCGAGCTTCTCGTATGCTTCTGCAAAGGTGTTTAGAGTGGCTTGTAGATCTTCTTCTGAATGCGCACAGGCGACGTCATCAGCATACTGGAGTTCTATAACAGATGTTGTTATAACCTTGGTTTTGGCTTTCAGTCTGCTGAGGTTGAATAGCTTGCCATCTGTCCGATAGATGATTTCCACTCCGGTGGGAAGCTTCCCATCAACAAGGATTCTCCATCTTCAAGACCAGTATGTGTCACAACAAACTCCAATGAAGAAAGAGAGAAGGGAGTCACATGTTGTTGTTTTTGTTGTTGTCTTCATGTCATTTCCAACTCATGGTTGGAAACTTTCTTGACATTTGTTCAGAAGTACTGATTCCTAACTTGCAAGGTATCTGCACGCAGCCTCTGTATACAGGGATTGTTCAAGGCACAGTCGTTCCTCCACATTTGTGGTTTTGACTTTTGAGGATTTGATTAAAATGTCCTCTCTAGGTCCTCCAGTGTGACTTTGTGGTCATCTTTCACCAGTCATGCTGGAGGACCTAGACAGAACATCGCTAGGCCTCCTGACACAATTCTGTGGTCAACTTCCAGGAGAATTCACCATACAGTCATGCTGGAGGACCTAAAAATTCTTAAAGAAGTGTCTCTCTGGTAAGAAAAACTAGCAATTTCATTATTCTTCATAGTCTTTCACTTTCACTAGGGTTCTGTGCCCCTAACCCCAGCAGATATGGAGGGCTGGCTGTATTACTGAATATTATGGAAACCATAGTCCAGAAATTCTTGTTCACAGACATGGGTTGCAAGCGTAGCAGTAGTACAAATAGTATTTAGTATTTAGCAGTAAGTACAAATAGTATTTGTAGATATATTACGGAACAGTTGGAACAGCTGTTTGGTGGTTTCTGGGTAAACCATGCTTGCAGTCCAAATCCATCAAGGAGTACATGAATTCCCAGGTGCTGAATGAAGAATCTTAACATTATTTAGGCCAGAAGAGCAATTTGATCACCTGTGCTGGATTATGTGAGTGTGCTTCATAAATGAGGGCATGAATGCTTCCCTGTGCTTTTTTCCATATAGGGATGGATCCTATATCTGTATCCTTAGAAGAAAAGAGTGGAAGCCAAAATGAAATCTGTCAAAGCAAAGTCTGCTCACACAGGTGAGAAGGAAAAGGTACCAGGAAGCTATAGATGTCATTTTTTTTATAAACACTTCTTTTGAGTATAGAGATTTGTGAGGGCAAACACTATTTGGCTATAGCTCTGAACTCTGATGTATTACTATGTGAATGGACTCATATCTTCTCCCTCATCTGTTGGTTCAACCACAAGAAGGTAATCAAAAACATTTGATTCTGTTTTCAAGTAACAACATTATTGGGTTGCTGTGAGTTTTCCAGGCTGTATGGCCATGTTTCAGAAGCATTCTCTCCTGGCATTTCACCCACATCAGTGGCATGCATCCTCAGAGGTTGTGAGGTCTGTTGGAAACTAGACAAATGGGGTTTATATATCTGTGGAATGTCCAGGGTAGGAGAAAGAATGTATAAAACTCACTTGCATAGTTTCCAACAAACTTCACAACCTCTGAGGATACCTGCCATAGATGTAGGCAAAATGTTAGGAGATAATGCTTTTGGAACATGGCCAAACAGCCCGGAAAACTCATAGCAACCCAGTGATTCTGGCCACGAAAGCCTTCGACAACACATTTAACAGCATTAATGTTTGCAATCAAACTGGGACAGATTTTCAAATAGTCTTGAATACCTTGAATTCACGCTCTTATCACCAGTGAAGGTGTTTGGCATGAGTGCCAGATATTGAGGAGTTTGGTGATTAGCATCAATGTTAAAATGGCACTAAGTTTATTAATATATTTATTTGCATGATTAGTCATAATATTGAAACCATTTTTATAATAAGCATTCTTTTGAGAAACTAATAGAGTAATGTTGTGGAAAAGAGAAACCCAAGTTCAAATTCCTGTTGGGTAATGTAAACAAAATGTTAGACTAAAGAGTCTGTTGCAGTAGATCTCAGGCCCCAAAGACTTTATGGTATACACACCTATACTACTTCAATAGCAGTGAATAATATCAGTAATTAACAAAACAGTCAGGGGTGCATATATTATCACTAATGTTGTAGCTAAAAATTCCTATAATAGCTGCTGCTATTTTCTGTTTAGCAAGTATAACAATATGTAATTATCCATTGCCACCAAACTTACATTACTTTTTAGAGTGCTTTTGTGTGTTTTTATTCCCTTCCAGAGTACAGACATATGACTGTGGAAGAAGAGTAGCTGACTGGTTTTCTGAATTTCTTGGCCGGCAGTGCCGCCTCATCAGGCAGAATTCAGACTTCAAAAGGAATGCAAATAAGAAAGATGAAAAGGGTATATATCTTGCATGGATGCTAGAGAAGAAATAGTCTAGTATTGCGAATATGATGACTCTGCATGGCTTATATATTCCATAGCCAATAAACAAAATGGCTGCAGTGATAAGGGAAGCATTAAAATTTCAAAATAAATACTCAATAAGTTAGGGCTTAATTGTTTTAGTTACTACATGTCCCCCTGGTCAAAGGCCCAGTGCTAAAGATATGGCTTGCTGATTTTCTTATCCTCTCATTTCCACTCTCAATGTTTCTGTTATCAGTATTTTGTTGTTTAGCAACTGAGTAAAAATCAATGGGACTCAAAGTTGGAAGGACCACCATGGTTATTTACTACTGTCCCATGCCATGGTCTCTTCCATCAGTGTGATTCCATGATTTCTTCAGAAGTAGCCATCCAGTATCTATTTTAAGACCTCAGACAAAGGACAATTCATCTGAAATCTTTTACAGCTCTTTCTGATAGTGATTCTCATTGGGTTGAACATTTGCACATGATTTTGTACTGTTTATTGTAGTTTGTTTATGTCTATAATTCATTTCAATGCCACTTCTAGAAGAGGCCACACATGTGCAGAAGGAGGGAGAGAGATTAGTTCCCATGCTTTTAGGATGAGGAACCTACAGAATTCTTTGAAAAAATAAGCCTGTGCTGCTATATCCTATACCCTAGCCTCAATGGCCAAAACAAGCCACGTATGTATTCTACACACACACACACACCATTTCTAGATCCATTTAATATATGTGTTGGTTGTTGTTACATACCTTTTAGTCAACTGATTTATTATGATGCAATCACAGGGTTTTCTTTGGCAAGATTTATTCATAGGAGGTTTGCGCTCTAATGTTGAGAGAGCATCACATGCTCAAGATCATCCTGGTGGGCCTCCATTATTGAGAGGGATTTGAGCCCTGGTCTCCCAAAGTCCTAGTCCAACACCCAAACCAATACATCATGCTGGATATTGTATTGTCGAAGGCTTTCATGGCTGGAATCACTAGGTTCTTGTGGGTTTTTTCGGGCTATAGAGCCATGTTCTAGAGGCATTTCTCCTGACGTTTCGTCTGCATCTATGGCAAGCATCCTCAGAGGTTGAGAAGGTCTGTTGGAAGAGGAAAAATGGGTTTATATATCTGTGGAATGGCTGGGTGGGGCAAGGAGCTCTTCCCTGCTGCAGTTAGGTGTGAATGTTTAGCTGATCACCTTCATTAGCATTTGAAGGCCTGCCTGAGTCTGGGAAAATCTGTTGCTGGGAGGTGTTAATCTGTGCCTGGTTTTTTCCTCTCTGTTGTTTAGCGGTTATAATTTTAGAGTTTTTTAATACTGGTAGCCAGATTTTGTTCATTTTCATGGTCTCTTCCTTTCTGTTGAAATTGTCCACATGCTTGTGGATTTCAATGGCTTCTCTGTGTAGTCTGACATGGTGGTTGTGCGTGTGGTCCAGCATTTCTGTGTTCTCAAATAATATGCTGTGTCCAGGCTGGTTCATCAGGTGCTCTGCTATGGCTGACTTCTCTGGTTGAAGTAGTCTGCAGTGCCTTTCATGTTCCTTGATGCGTGTCTGGGCGCTGCGTTTGGTGGTCCCTATGTAGACTTGTCCACAGCTGCATGGTATACGGTAGACTCCTGCAGAGGTGAGAGGATCCCTCTTGTCCTTTGCTGAACGTAGCATTTGTTGGATTTTCTTGGTGGGTTTGTAGATTGTTTGTATGTTGTGTTTCCTCATCAGCTTCCCTATGCGGTCGGTGGTTCCCTTGATGTATGGCAGGAACACTTTTCCTCTGGGTGGATCTTCATCTTTACTCTCATGGCTTGTTCTTGGTCTTGCAGCTCTTCTGATGTCTGAGGTGGAGTATCCATTGGCCTGGAGAGCCCAGTTGAGGTGGTTCAGTTCATCTTGGAGGAGGTGGGGTTCGCAGATTCTTTTTGCACGGTCTGCCAAGGCTTTAATGGTGCTTCTTTTTTGACTTGGGTGATGGTTGGAGTTTTTATGTAGATATCTATCTGTGTGTGTGGGTTTTCTGTAGACGGTGTGACCCAATTGTTGATCTGGTGTGCGGATGACTAGGACATCTAGAAAAGGCAGTCTTCCTTCATTTTCTTTTTCCATGGTGAACTGGATGTTTGGGTGGATGCTGTTAAGATGGTCCAGGAACCTGTTGAGTTCTTCTTCTCCATGGCTCCAAATGGTGAAGGTGTCATCCACATATCTGAACCATATCGTGGGCTTTTTGGTTGCTGTCTCCAGGGCTTGTTCTTCAAAGTGTTCCATGTAGAAGTTAGCTATGACCGGGCTGAGAGGGCTCCCCATAGCTACTCCATCTTTCTGTTCGTAGAATTCATTGTCCCACTGAAAGTAACTGGTGGTAAGGCAATGGTGAAACAGAGCCGTGATGTCTTCTGGGAACCTCTGGTTGATGAGTGCCATGGTGTCTGCTACCGGGACCATGGTAAATAGAGATACCACATCGAAGCTGATCAGTTTGTCGTTTGTATTTAGCTTGAGATTGCTGATTTTTTCTATGAAGTGGGCTGAGTCCTTGATGTAGTGTGTAGTGAGCCCAATATGGCTTTGTAACTGTGCAGCAAGAAATTTTGCTAGGTCGTATGTGGGGGATCCAATGGCACTCACAATGGGTCTGAGTGGGGTGGAGTCCTTATGGATTTTTGGGAGTCCATAAAGCCTGGGTGGATGGGCTTCCAAATTGTCTACCGTATACCATGCAGCTGTGGACAAGTCTACATAGGGACCACCAAACGCAGCGCCAGACACGCATCAAGGAACATGAAAGGCACTGCAGACTACTTCAACCAGAGAAGTCAGCCATAGCAGAGCACCTGATGAACCAGCCTGGACACAGCATATTATTTGAGAACACAGAAATGCTGGACCACACCAACAACCACCATGTCAGGCTACACAGAGAAGCCATTGAAATCCACAAGCATGTGGACAATTTCAACAGAAAGGAAGAGACCATGAAAATGAACAAAATCTGGCTACCAGTATTAAAAAACTCTAAAATTATAACAGCTAAACAACAGAGAGGGAAAAAACCAGGCACAGATTAACACCTCCCAGCAACAGATTTTCCCAGACTCAGGCAGGCCTTCAAATGCTAATGAAGGTGATCAGCTAAACATTCACACCTAACTGCAGCAGGGAAGAGCTCCTTGCCCCACCCCAGCCATTCCACAGATATATAAACCCATTTTCCTATTCCAACAGACCTCAACCTCTGAGGATGCTTGCCATAGATGCAGGCGAAACGTCAGGAGAAATGCCTCTAGAACATGGCTCTATAGCCCGAAAAAACCCACAAGAACCTAATGCTGGATATTTCCTTTAACAATACTTAAATAAAAGTACTTAAGATCACATACCTCTCAGTTACATCAGTATATGTCACCAAGAGGATTCTGGTTGGTATATGGAAATAGAGTAGCTCTAAGGTTGGAAATAATGTTCATAATTTGTTCATCTAAAGTTTGAAAAACTGGTTTTTTAACTGTCAGGAAATCCTGTCATAAATAAATGTAGACCAGTGACAATTTGGTGCATTTTTCTCCTGGTATTTGACTATTCCAAAGTGTTGCAGATTAATTACTCTGTGGTTATTTTGTATAATGTCCTCCTGGATTCTGTGCAGAAAAATGTATTCCCAGTATGTGAAATACAATTTACTGTGCAAATAATGTATTTTCTGCATGGAAAATAGGTTTTATACTAAAAGCCATTTTTTCCCCAGTGATAATTCCTCTGCAGCAGTTCAATAAAGGGAGAATACTGAAAGAGAAAAACTTATCTTTTTTCCTGCAGCAGAGAGAAAATTGTAGTTGTTTGTCCTCTTATATGAAGATGCAATAGTTGAAAAATTACACATATGTAAGCATTAGAGGGCACGCATGGAACATGTATATAAGTCCCAATTGCATCATATCATTGGCCTACAATATATCTGATCCATGGGAGACATTGGAAAAACTTACCTTTTTTCCTGCAGCAGAGAGAAAATTGTAGTTGTTTGTCCTCTTATATGAAGATGCAATAGTTGAAAAATTACATATATGTAAGCATTAGAGGGCACGCATGGAACATTTATATAAGTCCCAATTGCATCATATCATTGGCCTACAATATATCTGATCCCTGGGAGACATTGGAAATATGGTAGATCACATTCTTTATGCTATGGTCACTGCCTCCAATTACTATTGTCTTATATTTTATATGTTTCAGGAGAAGCATCTGCTGTAGCTGCCTCACTCTCTCTAGTAAATGAGGCACAGTACCTCCTGATAAACAGAACAAGTGTTTTAACATTGAGGGATCACATTATTGAAATGTAAGTGCTTCCTATTATGTAACTGAACATTCCCCTAGAGTTATGCATTTTGATCTTTTCCATGAACAACTATGGCACTGAAGTTGAGGAAGTTGAAACCTGCCCCTCTAAAGCAGGAAGTAAATTTACCAATGCAATTTATGCAACTACCATCTTTAAGTGGGATTGATGAGAGGAGACATGATACTCATATATAAATATTTGAAGGGGTGTCACAAGGAAGAGGGAACAGGAATGTTTTCTGCTGCCCTGGAGACTAGAACTTGGAGCAATGGGTCCAAATTACAGGAAAAGAGATTCCATTTGAACATTAGGAAGAACTGACCACAAGATCTGTTCAACAGTGGAACTCTCTGCTTTGGAGTGTGGTGGAGGCTTCTTCTTTGGAGACTTTTAAACATATGGCCACCTGTCAGGGGTATTGTGCTTTTCCTGTTTGGCAGGGGGTTGGACTGGATAGTTCATGTGGTCTCTGTTCTGTCCCCCATGCTATTTAACATCTACATGAAACCACTGGGAGAGGTCATCTGGAGTTTTGGAGTATGGTACCATCTCTACGCAGATGACACCCAACTCCACTACTCATTTCCACCAGATTCCAAGGAAGCCCCTAGGATACTGGACCAGTGCCTGGCCGCTGTGACGATCTGAATGAGGATGAAAGAGCTGAGGATCAATCCTGACAAGACAGAGGTTAATAACCAGATTAATAACTGGGGCGAGTTACAGGGAGCGGTCAACCCCCCTGTTTAAGGAGCTTCACTGGCTGCCATTCATCTTCCGGTCCCAATTCAAGGTGCAGGTTATCACCTACAAAGCCCTAAACGGTTTGGGACCCGCCTATCTTTGTGACCATATCTCTCTCCATGAACCAGCCTGAGTTCTTCGATCTTTGAGGGAGGCCCTCCTTTTGCCCCTGCCAGTATCACAGGCCCATCTTGTGGGCACAAGGGAGAGAGCTTTCTCCTCTGTGGCCCCCCGACTCTGGAACTCATTGCCCGGAGAGATTAGGAAAGCCCCCACCTTAGAACCTGTAAAAAGAATCTTAAAACCTGGCTTTTCCGTTTTGCCTTTGGAGAGTAGCCACACAACTTTATTCTATTGCTCCCCTCAACTTTATTGTCCCTGGAGTACACTCCCCCCTGTTCTGTTAGAAATGTAATATAACTGTCTGGTTGCCCCTGACACAATAAATAAATAAATAAATAAATAAATAAATAAATAACCTCCCCCTTGTATGAAGCCCTGTTTTTTACAATCCCGTTTCTTTATGAGCTCTCCCTCACAAATCTTCTCCTCTTTTATCTCACCCTGAGTTTTAGTATTTTATTTTACACATTGTGATTGTGGATATTGTACATGTATATTTTTTAGTGTATTCATATGTTTTATGTATTCTACTGTGTTGTTGCTTGTGTTTTGGTTTGTAATTTGCTGTTTGGGCCTGGCCTCATGTAAGCTGCCCTGAGTCCCCATTGGGGGAGATGGTGGCGGGGTATAAATAAAGTTTATTATTATTATTATTAACCTATCAAGGTAAATACAGTCCTTTTATTAAGTGGGGGATTGTTGAATCAGTGTAATTTACGTTATATCAGGTTTTGGTAAGCAGTCCAGGTTTGCCAGCCGAGTTCCTGGCAAAAATTAATTTATAATGATATGACAGTATAGCCCAGTGTTGCTATTATTTTTATTATTATCACTATCATCATCATCACTCCCTATGAGTGTTTACCCAAAAAACCTATTAATGAGAGCATCCTGATTAAAAAAAGAAACCAGGCCTTCCTGTAATTTTATTAGACAATCCTATTTATATTTTACTGACGGTTATTAATGGGGCCAAATCTTCTGTCTGAATGTTTATAGGATAGATTTACATTCTTAATGCATAAACAGTCACTAAAAATATGATTGTTTCAATATTTCATTACTTAATGTAACTTATCTCTACTTGTTTCTTTGTAATAAATTCAACAAAATAATATTAATTTGTGATTATTTCCTATTTAATAAAATAAATTATATATTGGGATAAATGCATTTTATTAATTTCTTCCTGGCATCATTAAGAATAATTAATTTAGAAGTACTAGAACTAAGGGGGAAAGTTAGATTGTTTCAGTAATGTCATTTTCTCCCCACTAATTGCTAACAAGATTTTTGAATAGTGTTTCTTAAAACAGTGGATTAATAAATTAGTACTTATTGTAGTTTTCTTTGTCTTTATTTCTATCTTCTCTGATAATTCCGATTAAAGTAAGATGTATTTATATGAATTAATTGATATTTTTATATAATAAAGTTTTAACAGTTTTGGATGACCTATTCATATTGAACGTATTTGTGACTCTGTCTTATTTACCTAAATCATGTCCATATATTATTCATTCTTATTTAATTATTGGCTAGCATGCATGCATGCAAGCACATTAAACATATTGCAATGTTTCCCCCCCCCCCCCATGGGAAGAATACATTGTTCTGAATATTAATATCCAGTTGGAACTAGCTTTAAGAATTATTTTCAAAGGAAAGCCATTGTCCGTTCAACAAATCTTGCTGTAAAAATTCAACTATTATTTTAGAATGCCTCTGAGAAAAGAGAATAAAATCTGATTATCAGCAAGTAGTTCTGAGGAATTACCTCCCAGGGAGGCTGGCCCTGTCTCTGCTCTCTTCTACCAGCATTTGTTGATCAACTGGTTATACATAAAGGTTGTTTGTAATACCTCTATCATGGGTTTAGTAATTTTAATAAGATAGCTAATTTAGTTATTTTAACACTTTTTATTATCAGGATTTTAGCCATTCACCACAATGTTTGTATTAATTGGGGATACATTCCAGGACTTAATATGGATACATGAAACAGTGGACAATAAAAAAAATCTATTGCATGAAAAACTTTCAGCAGAAGCATACCATATAGTCATGCTGGAGGACCTAGGTAATGCCTACAGAAGGCCTATTTCTAGGCATCGCTAAGTACTCCAGCATGGTTATAGTCAACTTACAGCAGAACCAAACTATAAAATCTCTTGGAGTGCCTTGCTTAGAGGCAACATATTTTGCTGATTATGGGTAAATAAGACCACAGGCACTGGTACTGCAGGCGTTGTACTGTATCTTGTTTCCACCTTGGTGTAAGTTGCTTTATCTCTCATGTCTGGAGAAAGGTGGGGCATAAAGTAAATAAAGAATTTAACAGTGATTTCATCAAAGGAGTGATCAGGACTGGAATATAGAGTATTCTTAGGAAATGGCATGATACAGAAACTGAAATATATTAACATTCGGAAGCTGCTGATGTCATCTAGCATTCACACATCTGTACACACACATACACACACACATCTGGAGCAGAATGTCAATTAGGTTCTGCAACCTATCAGCAACCTATCGATTATTCTCCTGAGTTTTTTGTCAGTGCCAGCTATTATTGTAAAAATGATATACAGCATGTAACAAACTTGCAAGATTTGGCAAGGATAAATGTAATGCCTTATTGATAAGAAGAACTCCTTCCCATCCCACCCAATATTTTTGTTAAGGGAAGAAAGTGTTAGAATCATAAAGTTGGAAGGGTTCCTATAGGCCATAAGGTCCAGTTCCTCACTCAGTACAGGAAACCCAGTTAGAGTATCTCCAATAGGTAGCTATCTAGCTGCTTTTCAGAGTTTTCAGAGTTAATTGCTTCTCTTCCATGCTTTGAGGTCATTTATATGAAAATAGCACACACTGTAGAGATATCATCAGTAAAAAAACAAAACAAAACAAGACCATATGTGCAGGGACTAATAAATGAGTTTAAAAAGCAATTTAACTTTTAAAAATTGTGAACCATGACAGCATTAAGACGACAGACATGCTCTTCAAAAGTCAGAGCTCTCACTGTGCCAAAGCCCAGTGATTGGATAAATTCGCATAAAGATAAAACATCATTAGACTCACTCCCTCTCCCATCTCTCCTTATCCAGAGAAAAATTATGGAACTGTGGGAGGAAATGGTCTCTACATTCCTAAATTTGGAAGCCTTAAGTCCAGTTCTATTATTTATCAGCTGGTTTGCTTATTTCACCTTAAGAAACAACCAAACCAGCTAAAAAAATCTTATTATCTAGGACCTCAAATCTCATCCGAGTGGTCAGCTCATCTCCAGAATCAAGTGGCCCAAATACAATAACACCCCTCAGGCAAGTGATAAAATCATCTTATAAATATAATTCTGTCTTTATTGTACTGAGGAATGTACTGGACTGATAAATCACAAGTAAACAAGTCATTTGGGTTAGCCCATAATCTTGTCTTCTCTGCTTCTGTGGAACAGAATAGGTGATTCGCTTATCCTGCAGGATCTCATCCATCGCTTCCGTGCAAATATTGTTATCAGCACAAATGAGCCATTTGAAGAAGACCTATGGGAAGAGATTTCTATTGGTTCTCTTCATTTTAAGGTACAAATTTGATGTATTTTAGTTGTATAAAGCATGCTGGGAAGGTGAAAGGTGTATTTCCTGAAAAAGTCAAGTTGGAAAAAAAGATAGCTGCTCCTACAGGAGATTTGTTAAGAAATAACACCAAACAGAAATGTGTATTATTGTGTGTATGAACTGACTGTTCAAATTGTTGAGTTGACATGGTGTGCCACAGCCATTCCATGATATGATGAGTATTCTCAACGTGTCAGCAACTGTTTATCCCATTCTAGGCTTCAGGGTGTGTTGGGAGATACCTTACTTGTCCCTTCCCACAAGGCGCTCCAACATGTCCCAAAAAGTGCAGTGGTGGCACTTTTTTATAGAACTGATTGCTAATTTCATCCATGGTAGGTGGCTCTATCTCAAATAAGATAGTATCTCTTTTCTGAAGAAAGAAGCTTAGTGCCTCCCTTGGGTGAGGATGTCACAAGCAGAGAGGAGACTGTCAGATTCAGTGAAGGATTTAAATTGAGAAAAAGAAAGAATGAAAAAGGGAACTGATCAACCATGTAGGTGAGAGAAAGCGGAGTGGAAAAAACAATAGGATGACAAGAAAGCAAATAGTACTATACCTCTAGTTAAGTAATTATTTCAGAGACTTTTCTGTGCAAATTTCAGGTTATGGGTCCATGTCATAGATGTTTGGTTATCTGTATTGATCAACAAACTGGACAAGGAAACAAGGATTTTTTTCAGGGTCTTGCTGCAACCAGAGATAGAAAGGTCAGTATAAAAATGCCTCTTCTTAAATCATTGCAATTTCATGAAAGTGATAGGAACTAACTAACTGAAATCAATTATCAAATCCAAAGTAATTTGGAAATGGGATGATAAACTTAATTAAATTTACTTGTAGATTTAAAGTTACTGACTTTTATTGGAATTTCAGCATGAATATGTCTCTAGAATTAACTTGTTAATTGATTAAATAAGTGGCAATGCTAAAGAGCCAGTAAATTTTACCTCATCTACTTGGTTCTTTACTAAACATCTAGTTCTCTTGTATTTTGCATAACCATTTAATTTTTGTTGGACCTGCAAGTGTTAGGCCATAAGACCCAACCTTCTTACTCAACAATAGATTCAGGGGGATGAATTGGGTTACAAGGCTTCATAAATTAAAAGCCTTAGGGCCCATCTACATAGGCACACAAATCTGGGGCTGGTTTGAGGTGTTGCTGTTTCAACTGACCTCAGGTTCTGCCAAGATATTTTCAACTCTGTACTTCTGAGCAGCAGTAGAAGTGGAACACAACTGAGCCCTGCTGTGTTGCCATGCTTACTTTTTGTGAACTTTGTTGCCACAATGGCAACCATGGAGCTCGAGATGTCAAAAAAGGTGCCCGAGTGATATACAGTGAAACAGAAGGAGAGGAGGAGGCAGTCCCCTTCCTCCTTCCAAGTGCTTCTTCTCTCTCCAGGACGTACAGGCACCTTTGTGACATCGGTAATAAATAATATTGACTCGAATATAAGCTGGCGGAGGCTTTTTCAGCCTTTTCAGCCTTTTTCAGGACTGAAAAACTAGGCTTATACTCGAGTATATACAGTATTACAGATATGGTTCTTCCCTGCTAACAGAGACTATAGACAAAGCTACCAGGTTCTTAGTACAACACTCTGGTTTGGTTCTAGAATTCTAGAAAGTTGTGCTAATAGAAAAAGTCATTGAGCTCAGTAAGCAAATACAAAAAAAAAATCCCCAGTAACTTTATACATTGAATCCTTAGAGCAAAAGACTTTAAAAAGAAAAGAAAAAAAAGATGCAATTGCAAATTTGTTAACATTTTTAACTGCAGTCACAGCATATCCTTAGCTTGTGGCGTAAGTCTGACTTTGGTCCTGTAAATATATGGATTAACTCATAGCTTGAAACCCAAAGCACTCTTATTAGATAATCATCCCCCTGCCAAGAAGCAGGAGTATTGCATTCAAATCACCCCTGACAGATGGCCATCCAGCCTCTGTTTAAAAGCTTCCAAAGAAGGAGCCTCCGCCACACTCCGGGGCAGAGAGTTCCACTGCTGAACGGCTCTCACAGTCAGGAAGTTCTTCCTATGTTCAGATGGAATCTCCTCTCTTGTAGTTTGAAGCCATTGTTCCGTTGCATCCTAGTCTCCAGGGCAGCAGAAAACAAGCTTGCTCCCTCCTCCCTGTGACTTCCATCACATATTTATACATGGCTATCATGTCTCCTCTCAGCTATTTCTTGTTCTAAGCCACTCCTCATAGGGCTTGTTCTCCAACTTGATCTGGTCTTTTCATGAAGTTGGCGTATTAGATATAATAGAGCTTGATTTTACTCTCATTTTTGGCTATCATATCTCCTCTCAGCCTTCTCTTCTTCAGGCTAAACATGCCCAGCTCCTTAAGCCGCTCCTCATAGGGCTTGTTCTCCAGATCCTTGATCATTTTAGTCGCCCTCCTCTGGACACATTCCAGCTTGTCAATATCTCTCTTGAATTGTGGTGCCCAGAATTGGACACAATATTCCAGGTGTGGTCTAACCAAAGCAGAATAGAGGGGTAGCATTACTTCCCTAGATCTAGACACTATGCTCCTATTGATGCAGGCCAAAATCCCATTGGCTTTTTTTTACCGCCACATCACATTGTTGGCTCATGTTTAACTTGTTGTCCATGAGGACTCCAAGATCTTTTTCACACGTACTGCTCTCAAGCCAGGCGTCCCCCATTCTGTATCTTTGCATTTTTTTCTGCCTAAGTGGAGTATCTTGCATTTGTCCCTGTTGAACTTCATTTTGTTAGTTTTGGCCCATCTCTCTAATCTGTCAAGATCGTTTTGAATTCTGCTCCTGTCCTCTGGAGTATTGGCTATCCCTCCCAATTTGGTGTCATCTGCAAACTTGATGATCATGCCTTCTAGCCCTTCATCTAAGTCATTTATAAAGATGTTGAACAGGATCGGGCCCAGGACGGAACGCTGCGGCACTCCACTTGTCATCCACACTACTCCACAAAGGCAAACCTGGAGCATCTTCACTGCATTTATGGGAATCCTACAGCATCCCTTCAGCCTTCCTCACAAGCTCATTAAGCAGCAGTTTTTTCTAATAAAGCACTGCAGTTTTTCTTCAATACAATATGCTGAGGTATGCACTTTAAAAGAAAGATTTAAGCAGACCTTTTACTAGTTTGAATTAGTTATAATTCAGAACATGATCTCTGACCTCTTTTTCTTTAAATGTATCACTGAATACTCCCTTTGTTTCCTAGAATTTCTTTCAAATGTGCTAAGAAAGCAAAGCTGGAATGGTCATATGATTTTAAGGCTGCAAATCAGTTTTAATTAAGCAAATTTGTTGTGTTCATTCAAGTAGTTTCCAACTTGTGATGACCTTAAGGTAAACCTATCACAGGGATTTCTCGGCAGTTTTTGTTCAGAAAGGATTTGCCTTTGCCTTCTTCTGCAGCTGAAAGAGTGTGTGCAAGTGATTTCCATGGCTGAGCAGAGATTTAACCCCCATTTCCCAAGTTGCAACCCAATGCTCTAATCATCGCACAGTGCTGGTTCTCTCTCATTCTATTTCCTTCTAAAATAAAGTAAAATTCTGGCCTCAGTCATTCTAGTTCTGTAATCAACTGAATTCTGTGATTTACATAAATTACACAGTAAAGAAGTTTGGATAAGTTAGGGTGAAAGTTCTCAGAGCTTCAGAATATGGAAGACATGATCTGATACCAGCACATGCCCAAGACATTGTGAAGTGTAATTCTCCGGCATCTGAGGCTGCTGGGTGCTGTTCTGTGAAAGCTTATTACGTGATGACAATTTGTGAGCTTCCTTGAAGGACTACAAGACTATTTGTCACTTTAGAACACAAAAGAATAGAAGGATCCTGTTTTTCTCGACAAATGTACATCAGTGCAATGAACACAGTAGCTCTTCTAGTGATGTGGAGCCAGTTCTAGTGATGTGGAGCCAGAAAGTTACCTCGGTATACAAAATAATCTATGGGCAACAAAGTAGGCTGGAAAATGACTAGAGATAGAGCAGGTTGTATTAGCCATGGAAACAGTTCAGCTAAAGAATGTGGAAGCTCTAGGTCTTAACTAGGCCCCTTCACTAGAAACGTTTAAAAAGAACCTCAAAACCTGGCTTTTCCGCTGTGCCTTTGGTGAGTAGGTGCACAGCATGGTATTTTACACCCCTCAATGTTTTCTGCTAATGGAGTTTGTGCCCTCCAAATAGGATGTTTAGCCTCACAACTCTGTGTGTTTTATGAGTTCCATATAAACGTCCTGCACCTATTTTATCTCATCATAGTTTGTTAACTGTTTTTACGCTGAATGTGTGGCCCGCCCATTGTCATCCCTACCATGATTGTGTTTATTGGAATGTTTATTTTATGGGTTTTTTTCTTCTCTCTTTTAATGTCATTTTGATAATGTTGTTGTTGTTGTTGTATATGCTTTGATTTTATTGCTGTATTATGTTGTCCGAGCTTGGCCCCATGTAAGCCGCTCCAAGTCCCCATCGGGGAGATGGTGGCGGGGTAGAAATAAAGATTATTATTATTATTATTATTATTATTATTATTATTAACGGTTCTCAAGTCTGGAGATTAGGCAAGCACCCTGCCTTGGATGGGGTTGCACTCCCCTTATATATGCTGGTTATGACATTCATAGCTTAGGGTCTCATACCCGAAGGATTGTCTCTCTATATACATCTTGGTTCAGCAGTTTTGTCAAATAAATTCCATAAAGTATTCAAAATCAACACTGCTATATTCCTATCGTGCTGAGAATTAAGCAATACATCCAAGCTATGAAATACATCAGCATTGCAATTTTCCAATGAAAATAATTTCATTCAATAGAATGTATAGGAGGTTTTTAGAATGAATGGATGAATGGTAGTTGAATAATACACCAAGAATTAAATTAGCAATATTTTTAAATCTCTGGCTATGATCGTGCATAACACAGATAGAGGGAAGTGTGCTATGTGTCCCTATTCAGGATACTAGTACTACTACTTTTACTGAAAGGAGGTAATTTAGAAAGATTTAGAAAGACAATTATCATTCTTGATTAATTTCATTGGAAGAAAACAACTTTATAGGAGAAATAATAACACATGTTAGATTTAACAGCAATTGATTCCTTCAGGAAGAAAGGAATGTGGAGTCTAAATTGAATAATCTCCTTCTCATGTAAATCTTATATACTCTTGGGAATGGGTTTCGGGGGCACTGCCTTGCAGTGGCTCGGTTCCTTCCTGGAGGACTTAGTCAGTGAAGCTGGGGGATACCTGCTTGGACCCCTGGCCATAGACATGTGGAGTCCTGCAAGGTTCTATTATTTCCCCTATGCTATTTAACATCTACATAAAACTGCTGGGTGAGGTCATCCAGAGTTTTAGAGTTTGGTGCCATCTCTATGCAGATGGCACTCAACTCTACTACTACTTTCCACCTGACTCCAAGGAAGCCCCCCGGATCTGGCTGCTATGATGGGCTGGATGAGGGCTAACTGAAGCTTAATCCTGACAAAACAGAAGTCCTCCAGGTCAGTCATGTAGCCGATCAGAGTATAGGGTGAACCTGTGCTCGACGGGGTTACACTCCCCCTGAGGACACAGGTCTGCAGTTGGGGGTACTTCTGGACTCCGCTTTGACACTTGATGCTCAGGTGTCGGCAGTGGCTGGGAGGGCCTTTGCACAACGCACCCATACCTCATGAAATCTGACTTGGCCATGGTTGTCCAAGCCCTAGTTACCTCCAGGTTGGATTACTGCAATGCACTCTAGGTGGGGCTGCCTTTGAAGATGGCCTGGAAACTGCAGTTGGTTCAGAGATCAGCAGCCAGGTTAATAACATGAGCTGGTTACAGGGAGAGGTCAACCCCCCAGTTTAAACAGCTCCACTGGCTCCCAATAAGTTTCTAGTCCCAATTCAAAGTGCAGCTGATTACCTACAAAGCCCTAAATGGTTTAGGGACCTGCCTATCTTCGAGATCGCATCTTCCCCTATGAACCAGCACATATTTTAAGATCACCTGGGGAGGCTGTGTTCTCGCTTCCGCCGCCATCTCAAGCACAGCTGGTGGGAACGAGAGAGAGGTGGTGGCCCTCGGCTCTGGAGATCAAGTTGGTCCCTACCATTTCCAATTTTCCTCAAGGAGTTAAAAACCTGGATGTTCCGCTGTGCGTTTGAGTAGGCAGTTTCACCAGAGAATTGGATCGATCTCGCCATAACTTTTTGCACTTTCTGTTATTACTTTCTGTAATCCTGTTATTGTAAATGCCTATGGACTTCATCCTTCCAGCTGTGACCTTAATTTGATTTGAAGCACACCTTGTACTTTCCCTGGGCTCTCCTAGGAACAATTGCACATTCTCTGATCCCTCCGCACTCGGCACTTATTTCTTCAGTCATGATACTGTTTTTAAAATGTGTAACGTGATTGTATGCTTTTCTGATGTTGCAGATGATTTTGTTTTGTCTTATTTTTATTGTGTGTGTTTTAATCTGTATTCTTGGGCTTGTCCCCTTGTAAGCCGCCGCAAGTCCCTTTGGGGAGATGGTGGCGGAGTATAAGAATAAAGTTATTATTATTATTTGAAACACAACAAGATGAGTCCACAGCAGACACTCTGCTGGCTGTTTTATTGGATCACGTGTCGGACATTTCCCAAGTGTCTAGGACTGTGTAATGTATCAACAAATAATGAGTGCAGATCCCAGTAAGGTTGCCTTTTGCAGCTGGCAGATGGTAATTTTGTCAGTGCTGATTGTGTTTAAGTGCAGGCCTAGGTCTTTAGACACTACACCTAGTGTGCTGATCACCACTGGGACCACTTTTACTGGCTTGTGACAGAGTCTTTGCAGTTTGATCTTTAAATCCTCATATCCTGTCAGCTTTTCCAGTTGTTTCTCTTCAATGCTGCTGTCACCTGGGATTGCAACATTGACAATCCATACTTTGTTTTTTAACACGAACGTGAGGTCAGGAGTATTATGCACAAAACTGTTTGTCTGAATTCGGAAGTCCCAGAGTAGCTTGACATGTTCATTCTCTGTAACTTTTTCCAGCTTGTGTTCTTTGTCACAGGCAGATGGTATTTGTGGCACAAGTTCCAATGAATCATCTGAGCAACGGTGTTATGCCTCTGCTTGTAGTCTGTCTGCGCGATCTTCTTGCAGCAGCTGAGGATGTGATCTATTGCTTCATCTGCTTCCTTGCAGAGTCTACATTTGGGATCTGTCATTGACATTTCAATTCTGGCTTTGATGGCATTTGTTCTAATGGCTTGTTCTTGGGCTGCCAGAATCAGGCCCTCCATCTCCTTCTTCAAAGTTCCATTTGTGAACCACATCCATGTTTTTTCTTTGTCAATTTGGCTCTCAGTTTTTCCCAGGAATGGTCCATGGAAAGCCTTCTTTCGCCAGTTTTCTCTTCTGCTCTGGATTGTGTTTTTATGGTATTCACTCTTTGTCTTTTGCACTTGAAGCAGTTTACTACTATTGACTTCCCTCAATATTGGTTCTTGACTGCCTTTCACATAATCCGCTAGTGCATGTTTCTCTTCTACCATTTGTTTTACTTGCAGAAACTCTCTGCCTCTCGATTTTCTGGGCAGGTAAAGTCTGTCGACATCACTATGCGGGTGTAATGAGTAGTGGATTGTCATCAGTTTTCTTGTTTTTCTGTCCAGATTATCCTGCTCTGCTTGTGTCCAGTTCACAATTCCAACACCAACATTATTATTATTATTATTATTATTATTATTATTATTATTATTATTACAAAACAGAAAACAAAACACACATGCATACATACACACAAAACAAATAAACAAAGAATTACCTACCAACTTCCAATGCTTATCTGATGTTTCATCTTCCTCTTCTTTTCCCCTCTGATATTTGTTGAATCTTTCTCTGTATTTCTCCGTGAATTCTTTCACTTTTTGCACTGTATTTAATCGTTTGATTAAATCTGGGAGAGATTCCTTCCAATTTCTCCCATCTAAGTGGGAAATCCTTTGGCTTCAACTTCAGAATTAAGAGAGATTAGATCATTTCATACAAATACTCATTGGTTCAGCTTTGTTTCACACATTTACTAGCATAGAGGTTATTTCATGCATCCTGAATGTGAACCCTCAGCTATTTCAGCAGGTTATGGCCACTCTAGATTCTGGTGCATATGACTAGGTCAGAGGTATTAAGATTGTGGCCCTCCAGGTGTTTGGGACTCCAACTCTCAGAAGTCCAGACCATCTTGTCCAATGGTCAGGAATTCTAGGAGATGATGTCCGGAACACCTGAAGGGTCACAAGTTGCAATGGGTACTATGGGAAAGCAAGTATCCTTTGATGTCTCTTTTCTTTAAATGGTTGATGTAGTTAAGTGGGTTGGTGCTGCCCTTTCCTGTTTTCGTGGTGACTTAATTTTCACTGATGCCTCTCTTATGTCCCTAATGTTACTGTAGCTTCCTGGGCATTCTTAAATAGCACAGAAAATTAAATCCTCCATATTTTCCAAATCCTGACCCTTTCTATCCCAAGGCATTTTCAGCTACTGGGGGATTTTTTTTATATAAATGTGTGATCATGGGTTTCCTCCTTGTCTTTGCAGTTACCAAACCTCCCATTGTCCAGCCAAGCTACCTTTGTCAACCATGCAAGTGTCAGTGCTTCAGAAGGAGTCGTCGAAGCAGTGTTGACTCATAATAGCATTTCTAGAGAGGCTAAAGACTTGGGGTTTTTTAACAGTTAACGCATGGAAGATAGGAATTGGATATTTTGGAAATCACTGAGAAAAGTGAGAAAGGTGTTTACAAATCATGGCTATTCTGTCCAGACTGGAATTGGGGCATTGTTAATTATTACTAAGCATAAGCATTTCAAGTTAATGGTGGGAAATTCATCAAGTACTTGTTCTTACAAACTTACAAGTGTGCTTTTTTTCAGACTAACTTTGGAATATATCTCATGAATGACCCAGCAAAGCAGTCCTCCCTTCCAGATACCTTGTCAGTGGGATCTCAGCTACTTGCAGTGATGAAGGGCAGCATCGTGTCTTCAGCATCTGCTAAAGAGCAAAATTCAGGATGACATCTTAGCTATCTCTGCAAACAGTGCTACCTTGCATACTGTTCTCAGTTCACATTATTCATCTTGCACACTTGTAAACACTAAATGCCTTCTCCAATGTTTCTAGTAAAGTATCAAATGTTGGTGAACAATGAGCTGATGTTCATCAATTCAAGTTGCATCACATCTTATGGCTCTTTACACCTAATTCCTTTGCTAAAGGACAAGCTCAAAAGAGGTATATTGAAGTACTGAAGACCATTTCACATCATTTGCCAAATAATGGTTTTCATGTTGAGTTTGGGAGAGGCAAAGGTCACTCTTGTGGAACAAGGTTAGGAGACAAAATGGCACGAGTACAGTAGAAGAACGCAAGATTATGATCATTGTCATCACCAATGTGTATACTCTCAGTAAACCAGAAATCAAGCAACCAGAGCTCTCAAGCAACTGGCAGAAATTGAAGAAATAATACTAGAAATAAAAATTAAAATATATGGATAATACAATAAAACAATGTTACATTAAGTTTATCGTTATTTGTCATGATTTGCATTTACAGTATTTCAATATTAATATCAAGTCAACGTAGAGTTTACGGTATGGTATAATATGGGGTATTAGTTAGGCCTATTTTTAATAATCACTCCTAAGCAACCAGAAACTGCATTTATCCAGCATCTACCAATCCCCATGAGAATCTACTGTACTTTGTTTATACTCCCAACTCTTTCTCAAGATTGATACTCAATGTGCTTTACACATTAAAACAATTAAAAACATAACAAAAAGTCAATATCAAAATATTTTATTATAATTAAACTGGTAATAAATATTAAAATAATTAATAATTATTAATAAACAATATTAAACAACTTAAAATATACTCTTGAAAAAGCCAATAAACTACCAAAGCAGTACTATTTAAAATAATACAGCATCTACTTAAAAGTTTTTTCCTTAAAATTCTTCACTTTTATTTCAATTAAAATATCTTTTTTCTGCCAACTGAAGGAAGAACCATTCCAGCTTCGTCAGAGAAGACATTCCAAAGTCTAGAGGCGCATCCAACTGAGAGGGCTCTGGCTAATGTTTGCACCTACCATACATCTATGAAACTGCAGGAAAAGCCGTTCAGTTTTTTCAGAAAGGCTGAAGTATAGAACTGCATTTGCATTCTAAGATGATGTGTCTAAATGGCTGTTCTAATTAATTAATTAATTTCTATATCGCTTTTCTCACCCCTTGGGGTACTCAAAGTGGTTCACAGCAAAGTCAATAGGAAAATTCAATGCCTCACATAAAATGTAAAATACATCACATATCGAAAATATGAAATTATTTCTAAAATAACTATGAATTAAAACCAGTAAACTATTTCAGTAGTGGTTCATACACCACTGAAATGAAAATGAATTCAATCTGCCAAGAATTAGCCCACCCTAACTTCAAATTCTTGTTCATGATGAAGTGATCAAGAGATAAAGCTCACATAGTGACTTTTAAATTATTTTTCTCAGTAAAATCCACAATATCCTCAAATCCAAGTTGTAGTTTGCTATCGCAGTCGTAGACCAGAAAACAAAACTGAAGATATTACTTCTGCTGGTCAGCAGTGACAATTTTCAATGCTTCGGCATCATATAAAACAAAGTGGTCCAACCTCTATAGGAGCTCTTTGCTTAATATGAACATACAGAGTTCCCTGCGTACCTTGGTATAACTTGCTCAAGTATGTGAAATTATGAATTGCATCATAGCAACATCAGCTATAATGCTGTTATCTTTCAGTCTTCCACAGCATTTTCAACATGATTACTTCATGACTTCAAACACCAAATCCAGAATACTGGATTTTTTCCTTTTGATATGTCTTGAAATAATAACAAAAGAATCCCACACGAGTGAAAATAAGATGTTGCAAATAGTGCTTAAAATTCCTAGAAAATAGGGGCAACAGAAATATGTGGTTATTAAAAAAACCAAGAACACCTGCAATCAATATTACAACCTCTAGACATATCTGCCCTACCTTGTGGATGCCAGTTTTATTTTTAGTTCCTCGTTGTGCCACTAGATGGCAAACATTTTCTTTCATATAAATTCTTCCTTAAATGTACAGGCAGTCCAAAGGTTACAAACATCCAACTTGCAAACTGCTCAGTTAAGGGGTGAGGGTGGGGAGACAACAGGAAGTGAGAGGAATCTGCCCCAGGGAAGGGAATTCTCTCCTGAAAGAGTTATCATCGGGAAAAGGTGTCTTCCACTGAAGCTTTATCACCAATCCTTGTTTCCATCACAAACCATTTTTTTTTCAAAATCCAATTATCACAGGGACAGAAAGTGAGGTGTAACCTTCTGAACAACTGAGCAAAACAAACAGCAAAAACAGACAGCAAAACAAACACCATGGGGATGTTACTACTTCCCTATGCTACCCAAAGGTACGTTTTAAGTGTAACTCCTGTGTGTGTGTGTGTGTGTGTGTGTGCATACATACATACAAGATAGGTTCTATGGATTTGTTCTGAAGTTGAATTTGTATTTTAAAGTGTAACTCCAGCCATATGTGTGTGTGTGTTATACTTTAAAATGTACCTGTTCTGACTTACATACAAATTCAGCTTCAGAACAAATCCATAGAACCGATTTTGTTTGTAACTTGAGGACTGCCTGTATATGCCTTCAAGTTACCTGAGGCAAAGAATCCTCAGATTTTTTTTCCAGTTTTTTTCCTATGACCTACAACACCTTGTATCCACTAAACTATTTTGTACTATTTCCCCTAAAATATAAGTTGCAATTTTTATAAGAAAAAAAATTATGTTCGGACAATCCATAGCTCACAAAATAGTGTTCTAGCTTTTGAGTTCTCCAAAGCCCTTTATCAAGTTCTACAATTAAAAAGATGGTTAAAGAAGAAGTTAGATGATTGATGGTAAAGCTGTATACTACACTAATATTCCAAGGACTATCTGAAGAGATCAGTAGTCTTAAGATGAACAGTGAGAAGTCTTTGCAGATATTCAGACTAGGCTCTTGTGATACTCTGTTGATTCCCAGGGATTGTGGCGCAGCTGGCTGAGTGTCAGCTGCATTAAGATCACTCTGACCAAAAGGTCATGAGTTCGAAGCCAGCCCGGGTTGGAGTGGGTTTCCAACCAATTGTGTGTAGCCTGTTGTCGACCTTTGCAACCCGAAGGACAGTTGCATTTGTCAAGTAGGAAAATTAGGTACCGCATTAAAAATGTGGGGAGGCTAAATTAACCGATTTATGGGGCCATAAAGAAGACTCCAGCAAAGCATTCCAGCGGGGAGACATGCGGGGAATGCAGATGGATGATCATCGCAGATGGACGATGAAAGTGACAGCTCCCTTGGTGACCAGAAAAAGTTAAATAGCCTCTGTGTATGTCTGTATATGTTTGTATGTCAAAAATTGGCATTGAATGTTTGCCATATATGTGTACACTGTAATCCGCCCTGAGTCCCCTGTGGGGTGAGAAGGGCGGAATATAAAAGCTGTAAATAAATAAATAAATAAATAAATAAATACATCTCAAACTGTTCCAAGGACTCCTGACGTTGAAAAAACCCTCAGGTTTTAGATAACAGATGTTTTTTTACTGCTTTTTTATGACACTTGCAGACTATTAAATTTAGTCATTCAACAATTTATCATGTCAGAAGCAAACTGAGGGTAAAATTAAAATGTATTTAAAAACACAAAGTTTTAAAACTTGGCATTTTGCTAGATGTCCTTTGACTAGAAGCTGGCCACTTGGAGTGCCTCTGGTGTCATTGTGAAAAGGTCCTCCATTGCGCATGTGGCAGGGCTCTGATTGCATTGTAGTAGGTGGTCTGTGGTTTGCTCTTCTCTGTACTTGCATGACACGGGCTCCACTTTGTAGCTCATTTTCTTAAGGTTGGCTCTGCATCTCAGGGTGCCAGAGCGCAGCCTGTTCAGCGCCTTCCAGATTGCCCCATCTTCCGTGTGCCCAGGAGGAAGTTTCTCATCTGGTCTCTGCCACTGATTGAGGTGCTGTGTTTTAACCTACCACTTTTGGATTCTCGCTTGCTGAGGTGTTCCTGCAAGTGCCTCTGTCGGTCTTCAGAAGCTGTTTCTTGATTTAAGGCATTGGCATGCTGGCTAATAAACAAACAGAGGATGGGCCGGAGATTTCACTGCCTTGTTCCTTTCATTATAAGCTGCTACTTCCTGATGGATGTCAGATGGTGCAATGCCAGCTAAACAGTTTAATATCTCCAGTGGTGTGGGGCGTAGACATCCTGTGATAATACGGCATGTCTCATTAAAAGCCACATCTATTGTTTTAACATGGTGAGATGTGTTCCACACTGGGCATGTGTATCCAGCAACAGAGTAGCAAAGCGCAAGCACAGATGTTTCCACTAAGTCTGGTTGTGATCCCAAGTTGTGCCATTCAGCTTGCAGATGATATTTCTAGCACCCACTTTTTGCTTGATATTCAAGCAGTGCTTCTTATTAGGCCTGGGTAACAACGGAAAAATTTGTTTCTAAAATCGATTCGTTTTTTGGGGGTTTTTGCATTTCGTTATTTAAAATAATTACAAAATTTTCCTTTTAAAAAGTTCGATATTTACGAAATTTCGTAAATGTGAAAAAAATTACAAAACATTAACTAATCGATTTCCGAAACAATAACGAATCGATTCGTTAATGGCGGACGCGACCGCGAAATACGCTAAAAAACCTCCAAAAACTTCTGAAGCTTCCCTCTCCCTCTGTTGTTGACTGTTGGTGTGATATTATAATTTTTTTTTCACTAATTAAACAAAAAACAACCATAAAACTTGCCCCAGACATGCGGAAATAATAACGAAACGACCTCAAAACAATAACGAAACGAATACAATAACGAAATACGAAGCATTTACAAAACTATTTAAAAATTCGTTTTTTTAAAAAATTGCTCCAGAATGGTTTGTTATCGTTTTGTAATTAAAAAAATTAACGAATTATTAACGAATTACGAATTAACGAAACGAAACCGCCCAGCCCTACTTCTTATATGTCAGATCACGGTCCAGAGCAACTCCCAGGTATTTTGGTGTGCTGCAAAGCTCCAGTGGGATTCCTTCCCAGTTAATCCTCAGAGCTCAAGATGCTTGTCTGTTCTTAAGGTGAAAACCACACCTCTGCATTTTAGATGGATTAAGAATTCAGCTGGGTTTCCCTCTAATAGGCAGTGGCTGGTCATTTGTATAAATGTTAAACATTGGTGGACCAAGCATGCTCCCCTGAGGCAGGACAGTCTTCTGTTTTCGCCATCTGGCCCTGGAATTCAAAAAAGAAGCTCCTATTTTGTAGCATATTTCCTATGAGGAGGTGGTAATCCTTTGTGATATTATAAGTTTTTCTCAGAAGAAGGTGATGATTTACAATATCATATGTTGCTGACAGGTGTAATCTGCTATCTTTCAAAGCCATCTTCTATGTGCTGAGTCAAGTTCAACACTTGTGATGTGCAGCTTTTACCTTTCCT